AAACTATATTGACACCATCATTATTCAAAGTCCATAGGTTACATTATTGTTCAGTCTTAGTGTTCACTCTATAAGTTTTGACAATGTTTAATAACATTTATCCACCTTTATATTGTATTATCATACAGAATGGTTTCACTGCCCTACAAATCCAGTGTTCTGATTCTTCATCCCTGTCTCCCCTTTCTCAACCCCTCTGATGCTTTTGATTTGATTTCCCTAGTGACTAATGCTGATCATTTTTTTTTCCATGTGCTTTCAGCCACTCATATATCTTTTTCAGAGAGGAGATATAGGTCGGAGGGTACAAGCTTTCACATATAAGATGACCAAGTTCTGAGGCTCTAATGTACAGAGTGGTGACTATAGTTAATAACATAGTATTGTATCCTTGAAACCTGCTGAGATCTTAAGCCTTCTTACCACACAGAAAAAATTCTTAACTATGTGAGAGGATGGATGTGCTATTTTGATCTTGGTAATGATTTCATAATGTGTGTAATCACCAATTTGTATATTTTAAATATTAAAAATTATGTTTGTCAATTATTCCTCAGTAAGGGAAGATTAAAATGGCTACTGTTTTTCTTGACTACCTGATAATCATTTTTGAAGGCACACGTTTAGTTTAGATAGAAATTACAATTTTTGGGAGTAATATTATAGAACTTTTAGATTTCTTATGCTTTCAACATCATTTTAAAATAAAAATAGTTCAATTAAAAACATCCATTTTTTGTGTTGGGTTGTGTTTTCATTGTTGAATACCAGTGCTTTTAAAGGTTGAATTCGCTTCCAACTAAAGAGAAAAACAACCTATGATTTTGTCTAATACAAGAGAAACACGGTAACACTATGTAATTATTTTGCTGGATGACCTGCTCATCTGGGTCACTGTCCCTTTAGACCTGGGATCCACTGACTGATGCTAAAGTTGCCGTGTGATTTCAGGGCAAAGCCACCACTTTCCTTGGCGGCTGGATTCACAGGAGTCCAGAAGAAAAAAACAGCTTTAGGGAATAATAAATAAGTCTTGGAGATAGAAGTTAGTCAAAATACAATCCGTGCAACACTTAGGTACTGATAGCTAAATCCAAGAATAAGAAACAAACAGTTTTGTTAAGTATGAAACATAGTTAGTACAGTTACAGGAGAAATCTTAAATGACATCTCAGTGTTTATCAACTAGGTCTCCATAGTGGACAGGATGTTTGCAAATGTTTTAGTAACCCACACAACTTTGTTTTGTTAGTTATTTCAACCAATGAAGTCCAACAAGAACTTACTGCACACCTCTTGGGAAGGTAATGCCTTTTCTACTGAATTCATTAACATGCTTGATAAATTTTTAGAAAGAAATAGTTGCAATTTCTGTGTCTACTAACTTTTTAGAAGAGGAAATAGCAGCCTACTCTTTTGGTATTTGTTATTCACATGGCTAAAGAAATTCTGGAACTTAACAACCATGTATTTTGGAAAAAAGGAAAGAGTCTAAAATGGAAAATACCATGGTTTTAGTTTTCTTTTCTTTTCTTTCTTTTTTTTTTTTTTAACCACAGGACTCAATGAGTCTTAAAAAGTTCACTTGTACTTGAAAAAATCCTAGATTTTCTTAAAATCTCCTTTGAGAACTCATTTGCATTCTAAAATTCCTTTCTCATGGGTAATCAAAATTGTACTGGCTGCTATAGGTCCCTTCTCATTGACATCTTGAAACAAGGATGAAATTCTTCATCATACCTTCTTTGCCTGATAGAGGATATGAGTAACTTCCATATCCACTTACCAAGGCAACACATGACTACTATCTAAGAGGATGGGAATAAAGGTGTTAGTATTGATCTGCATATTAAATAAGAATAAACTTAATTTCTCTTTTACAAATAATGCCCCACTAAAAATCAGTTCCAATATCTGTTTTTTCCACACCCTGCCTATTCCTGGAATGTGCATATACATTGGAGGCTACTAATGAACACCAATGCTATTCATTTCAAAAGCTTTCTCTCTTTCTCTCTCTCTCTCTCATCTGTGTGTAATCATGATTCTTTACATGTTTAGGTTATGTCTAAACATTTTTGGTGTTCTTAGAAACATGGCAATGCTATTTAAAAGTGGCAGCATAAACAGTATCACCAATTAGCTTCTCCAAGGGTGGTGTATGAGTCAGAGTTCAACCAGAGAAAACAAAACCAGTAGGATATATATGTTAAGGGATTTATTGCAGGACATTGATAGATGATTGTGGGGGGCTGGCTAAGTATGTCCTAAATAAACAGGGCAGGCCATCAGGAAGGGGGGCTGGAACTCCCAGGCATGAGCGGAAGCTGCAGTCAGCAGGTGGAATTGCTTCTTCCCGGGAGTTTGACTTCTGCTCCTAAAAGGCCTTTCAACTGATTGAATCAAGCTCCCTCCCCCACTCTTCTCCCCACCCCCAGGCCACCTGGAATAATATCTCTTAAGGCTAAGTGATTATGGACTTTAATCACATCTACAGAACACTTTCACAACATCTAGATTAGACTAGTGTTTGAGTAACTGATACTACCACCTAACCAAGGCAACTCATCACAGGTAACCATTATCTCTGTGGTCAGCAGTCACACAGTACCCGTCCTTTTACATACATATGAAGAAATATTTATACAAAGTGTAAGATGCAAAATTAAATAGCATTCTATTATACAAAGTCCACTAAGCCTGCATCTATTGCTGTTGCTGAGTGGATAGATTTCTTTCTAGATTAGGCCCTGGACTATAATCAATAAAAATGTACATAGAACTTATTACAACATTCCACAATGATGCTTAACTTTTTAATAGCTAATCATTTATAAACATTCTGATATAATAAAGAATTACCATTTAAAACATAGGTTTTCATTTATCAAAGATACTGTTCTGTGACAAAGGAAAAAAATATATATACATACATACACACACACACACACACACACACACACACATATGTATTGATTTTTTTTATAGAGAGGGAAAGAGAAAGTTAGAAACATTAACGAGAGGAACATCAATCAGCTGCCTCCTGCACACCTCCTATTGGGGATGTGCCTGCAACCAAGGTACACGTCTTTGATCAGAATGAAACCTGGGACCTTTCAGTTTGCAGGCCGACCCTCTACCCATTGAACCAAACCAGTTAGGGCAGAAAATATATTTAACATGATCAACAGGCAGTACGTAATGCTCTCATCTTAGTCAATGAAAATATTTTTGAAGAATCTGGGAAAATAACTGGATGTAGCATTTATTGGATTGTCAGAAGCTGGGTGACATGGGACTGAAGTGCCTTTGTAGGTCTGAGGACAAAATTACAGATGAGGTAAACATAAACTAGATGGTCTTGAAAGAAAATAAACACAGGTGATTGTTAGGGTTGCTGAAGGAGGTACACATGAGCCAAAAGTGGTGAGGGATTATAAATTTATATCTGGAGACCAAATGGGCTGAGCCCACAAATGGTGCCAGCATTCTGGGACTGGGAGTCAGAGATTTTTAAAGGATTTTAGACAGGCTTTTTCAGTGGTGAACTCTCTGGGCAGGTCTGGATCCTGGGAAAGTCCAGAGGGGAAATAGTCTTAGCAAGTGGAATGTGGTCTAAGTGAAAGGGAATGTCAGTTGTGAAGTGGTCTAAAGGTCAGTTCCCAGGGGAGGAGGTATCGATTCAGTTATTTGGTCAGAACAAACAGTAATCTCAGTAGATATATGCTAAATAAATCATTAATAAAGTGAGGAGACACTCAATTTCAAAGGAAATTTAGATACAAATATTTGTTCTGCAAGGCACTGGCGGGGTCAGTGATCTGAACTGTGAATCATACAGAGCTGGAAAAAAAAAAAAAAAATCCCACAGGTCAAAAATATGTACTGGCACAAAACTGTTCCTGAAATAGGTTCTATCAGCGGTGAGGAGCATAAGAGCAGGTTTCGAGGAGAGAAAAATACCTAAGGAATTTGAAGAGAAAGACCTTTAAGAAAAGGCTGGAAGAGATGGAATATTGGATAGGCAGCAATAAAATGTTACTGAACAATTTAATAACCATGGTCACCTGTATAAAGGATCATCACACAGATTATGGAGGATAAATTTTATTTCTATTTTGCAAGGGAAAAAAGCATAAGGAACAGTATAAAAGATTTGGTTTCAATATAACAAATTCAGTTTCAATGAACAAAATCAGTCTTGAGAGTCATGGATATTAAATAATGGGATAGGACACAACAGATGGTGCAGGGCCTTCAAAGACAAGATACAGAGCTAGCCCCTGAAATGCTGATGAAGGGAAGGGAGGCTAGAGATGGTCCTTTTGGTCTCTGCCAAGGTCTCAAGCTACTTTCTGTAGGAGACACTTTTCTGCTCTATAACTGTGTGAAATGCTTGGTGTCTCAGGTGCTATCTTGGTTGGGCCTGTATTATTCCCATGGCCTTCTTTAGATTTGATAATCATTAGAGGAATTCAGTGGTGGGCTTGAGATTTACAAAAACAGCCTCTCTCATTTTCTCTTCCCTGAGTTTAAAGAAAGCCTGACTTTGTGCTTGCTTTAGATGGATTTGAAGAACTCATCTTCTCGAGTAGGTGCCTTCTCAATCAATAAATCCGTCATTACTCCAAACTTTGACATATTGAATATTGGCCTTTTTAAAGCGTTGGGTACACAAACTTTTGGACACCTCTATTAACACCACATGCCTATGAGAGTTGAATTCCTTTTGGGGTTATCAACTTCTCATACGGTCCTCCCTCCAAAAGAATACTTGTAAGTGGTTGCATTCTCCACAGTGTAACAGAAGTATATGGAGATTATCATAAATTTTATAAAATGTTGAGTTAATTGATCCTACTTTGAAGAAATTTCCTTTATCAAAGTAGCCAGACTTAAAATGCATTGCTTGTACTGCACTGTTTTAATGACATTTCACTTTTACATTGACATGCCAATTAAAATTTTAAAAATGGCATATTATTGTAGGTTTTTATTTAAATTCTAGAAGAACTGAAAGATATGTTTTCCCCAACTTAACTAAACCTGAGGTCATTTAGAATAGGTGATTTTGCATTTCTTACAGATTATCCTTTGAAGTTCATAACTATAAAGAACTCTAGCACACTAAATCTTGGGAGGACTGGCAAATGACGGCAGGGAAAAGATTTCAGGGACATGTTTCTTCCTTTGTCCACTTGAAAGGGTAGCTTGAGGTGATGATTAATCTCACATTGCCAAATTCAGTGCCTAAATATTTTGATAAGTACTGTTAGGCATAATAATTACTTGTAAAGTATTTGTGATTTTTACATGTTGAGTTATTATGTCAGGAGTTTTTAGTTTGTTGTTATTAATGTGATAGGGAAGGGACCAATCGTTAAAATCAAATGCATGGATCATGCTGCTAAAAGCACATACAAAGAGGAAAGTTGAAGCTGCAATAAACAAAGTAAAGCTCATGGGTTTGAAGCAAAAGATTATGGAATTAGAAAGATTATGGCACATGTATTTTCCATTGTATGTAAAGAAGTATTTTCAGTCTTATAAGCTCACCGACTCACTTAAGAGAAAATGGTTCTGTAGGTCCAACATGCTGTAAGCTCCCTAAGGACTGGAATGATCTCACTATTTCTCCCTGCTGCATTAGCACAGAACCCATTTATGAACAACTATTTATAAGCAGTGATATTTCAGAGAATATAAAATGATGGAAGAAGAAAATAAAAAAGTTCTTTGTTTGCAGCCAAGTGTGGGGATTAGTTCTGTATTTGTTTGGACAATTATTTGGAAGAATTATCACAACTGTTTTAAAGAAATAACAAATGTCTGCACCATAAACAATTCTGCAGTATAAATAATTTGACATCTTTTGTTGAGAGACCAAACCAAAAAACAAAACACACACACACACACACACACACACAAAATCCAAACAAATAAAACCACACTGTATGTTCTACAGCTTAGAAATTAAACAAATCCCCAAATTGCAACTTCCACTAAAATATTTATTTAATTGATGATAGCTTCAGAAATAAATAAGAGCAGTTTTTCTTCTAACACACAGGCATATTTATGTATGTATATAGAGATATTTTTTACAAAATTGGAGCATATCAAATTGCTTCTCCTATAATTTTAGCTCAAAAGGAATACTAGGAAACAAACAGAAATGCTAATCTGCTCATCATTAATTATAACCATGGGCATCTGAATCTCAGTGTAACAGATGAGTAAGAGGAAGAACGTGAGATCTGGAGTCAGGGGACCTGAGCTGCATGATCTAACTGGTATGTATCATAGGCACATTTCTCAATTTTCTGAACCTCAGTTCTCCTTTAAAATAGGAATGATGTTCATCATATCAACTTCACAAGATTGTTGGGCAAATTAAATACATGCATGTACAGGAAAGCTCTTTGTAACATGCAAAGAGCTATAAAAATAATAGTTCTGTTTAATCTCATATAAAAGAATCAGTGGATATCTCCCTTCACTGAAGAATAAGCACCAAAAATGTGTTTCTTCAGCTAAATTATCTCAAACATAGAAAAAGAAACTTAACTAAGCACCAGAGCATCTCGGACAATTGTGATTCAGGGGATGTTTCCATTACATTTTTCTGTGTTGCTAAGTAGAAGCTAATGAGTCCTGAGGGTCATTTAAAACTTTGAAGGCTCAAAGAAAACAAAACAAAACAAAACAGGAGCATTTGTATTATATCAAATGGCTGGAATATAATAAGCTACTATTCTTTAGTTACCAATTTTAAAATCCATTAATTCTTCACAGAAGAAGAAACAATAAGTTATTAGCACTTGCAATTATTTGCTGATGTAAATATGATATTCTCACGTTTCAAAGATAAAATACTGGTCCTTGAGATAATAGTGGGGAAAAATAACAAAACGGATCACAAATTTAGATATTTCTGGTTAAAAATCTAGTTACATATACAAGAACACGGGAAAGAAAAGGAATGCAAGACATCAGTATAGTAATGATTATTAAAAAACCTGCCATATTTCCATGTCATAATAAGAACTAAAGGTACAAAAATTGTGATATTTACAGGTATATTAATCTTAAAACATGTAAAACTGAATAAGAAAAAAAATACAAGTAGAGAAAGCATATTAATTTTAAGATAAACATTAATACATTTAGAAGCCCTATTTAAAGTAAAATGCATACATTGACACTACTTAACATGTAATAGAAACAGGAAAAGTGTTTCAAATTTTCGTGGCAAGATACAGAGAAAAGAAATAATTGCCTAATATTAAGTTATTGTTAGGAGTTGTAGTACTATAGTTACTATGTATGGAGTTACAGTCGAAACCTACTTAAATATCTAGGAGTTAATATAATTCATTATCTACTAAAAATAGTACTTACAAGATATTGCTGAGTTATGTGCTAAAGATAATGAAGGCCCATTCAAAAGTGAGATTTGTGTTGGTTGTACAACCAGGTCCTACAAAACTAGGCTAGTTTACTTTTCTCGTGTTCCAACTCTTTTTAAGACTGACCTTATCAAAAGAAATGTACATAGTACCTGCCTTCATTCACTCAGATATAGATATTCTTCAGAACAAAAATAAATGTTTTATTAGGAGTGAAAAATTAAAACCTTTACAGATCTTCTGGAAACAGCATATTGAAAAGGGCTCCATGACTATGGGACACTGTACAACTGGAAAAGAAGGAAATTCATTTGCCTAAGAACAGTGGATACTGACATCTAGTGGATAGTTTACTTGTAACTTTGCTCTACAAGCTACGGCAGTTTTTAAATACATTGACGTTTGCAGACTGAATCAGGTGCACTTCATTCAAGTTCTTCAGTGTCTTTGGTAAAGAGGTCTGCCAGATCAGCCACAGTCAAGACAGAGGCCTCTGGATGCTTCCCCGATGAGCTGGTGTGACTGCAGGATTTTCCAGGTGAGCAGAGTCAGAAAGAAATCCCAGGAGTAAATGATTTCATTTCTCTTATCTATTGCTCTAGCCTTATAATACTATAATATATAATAAGACTATAATGATATTATATCATCTATACTAATAAAAGGGTAATATGCAAATTGGTCAGAATGCCCTTACAGTAACGACCCAACAGCAGGCTGAGTGGGTCTGGCAGTGGGGGTTAGTGAGGGATGACCAAACAAATGAACAAGCAGGCTGCGTGGGGCGACGAAGCCGGCAAAGGGGTTAGTGAGGGACGAGCAAATGACTGAAGAGCAGGCTGTGTGGGGCTACCAGGACTGCGTGGGGGGGGGCGGGCAGTTGGGGGTGACCAGGCTGGTGGGGGAGCAATTGGGGGCAACCAGGCCTGCAGGGGAGGTAGTTAGGGGCAATCAGGCCAGGTTAGGGGTGATCAGACTGGCAGGCAGGTGAGCAGTTAGGAGCCAGTGGTCCCGGATTATGAGAGGGATGTCCTACTGCTGATTTAGGCCTGATCCCCAGAAGGGTCCCGAATTGGAGGGTGCAGGCTGGGCTGAGGTGACCCCCGTCCCGTGCACAAATTTTTTGCACTGGGCCTTTAGTAATATTTATAAGGACTATTTTCCTCCAATTTTTATACCTGCGTCATAAGAAACTCCCAGAAGAAAGTAGGTAATGGGAACATTTTTACATATTGTTAAAATTAGTGAAGACTTCTATATATTATTTGTCATAAAATGCTTTTTCTTTGCACAATTAATAAAACAAAGAAACGAAAACTGCCCTACTGTTACTAAGGCTTCACCTTACAATTTACCTTCTTACTATCTCAAGTTAATTTGTTTCAAGAAAAATTCAACAAATTTTCTAATTGCTATTTTATTGAAGCAGCTTAAATATAATCACTGAATTGTTATGTATGGAAACAACAACAAAAAGCCTCATGTTTGAGGCAAAGACTCTGCTAGTCACCTCCTTCCTTCCCTTAAACACCGATGGAAGACAGTGTCTGGCTTCAAACTGCTTCTTTGCCAACTATGCAAAGTCCCCCCATCTCTACTGTGTGTATCTTCCAATCACACCTATCTCATGAGGATGCAGTAAAGCATTTGTTTATGTTTTCAAATGACTTCAAAGAACACAAGTTATGGAATAAATATTAGGAAGTTTTAGGATTCTAAAGCTGAGTTTTTGAAATTAAGGCTGCTTTGGTCTCTGCTGCTGTTCCACCTTTGGAATTAACACCATAATTACCAGCAGAGTTTTAAGTCCAGACCTTCCTGTGTGTGTGTGTGACTAACACATGGGAAGTGCAAGCAGCATGTCAGTGTCATTTTACAGACATCAGACCAAGGCTTTTAGGTGGGGCATGAAGATGGATATCATTTAAAAGTCTACTGTGGCAAAGAAAAGGAGAATAGTTTAAACATTTTAATACATTACACTTCCTATTAAATCGTTAAGTCAAATATACAATAAACATTAACTGAAAAATTTTGACTAGGTAAAATGCCATACCTTACTTTTAAAAAATATTAGCATTTCTATCTTTTTGTTGACTAAGTAATCATCTAAGTGAAGAAGCTCCAAACACATATACAACTTTTATAAATAGAAAAACTTCCCCATCCACTAAGTAAACTGTCACCTACCTCCTCTCAGCAGTTTTCAGCATTGCTTGCATTCTTTCTTCTATTGTTGCTTTAATCAAGAATCTGTGTACAATCGTAGGTCTAGGAAATACATAACAATTACAAGTTTAAAAACATCTTAAAACTAATGGGAACAAACAAACTTCGTTTTGTACATGCTATACCATCAGTCAGTTGGTGGGTAGTAACCAAGGTGCTGGGGGGAAGGGGAAGAAACGGTGGTGGTGGTTTTGCAGTCAATAAAATGAACTATTTAATCTTAATGAACTCACATTTAAATGAACACATAAACAACTATGGTATTTTCAGGGAACAGATAATATCAGGAAGAGGCTGACATGAGTTGAAACATGACTGATGGTAATGAGGCCACTAAGCAAAGGAGGAGTGGGGAGAGTATCCCAACATAAGAAATAGTAAATAAATGCAAAGCCCCAGAAAAGAACATGATTGGCACAAGCTTAAATGTTCGAGAGGCAGAAAGAAGGCTACAGTGGCAGAAACAGACTATAACCTCGGGGTAGAGGTGAAAGGGAGACTGGAGAGGTGGGCACAGGCCAGAGCACAGGTCTGGTGGGATATAGCAGGAATTTGGGTTATATTATGGTTATAGTAGGAATCCACAAGTGGGTTTTATGGGTGATTTGAGTTCACCTGATTCTACTTCAGAATCCTGTGGGCTGCGGTGCAGGTTGAACTGGTAGGCAGCAAGAGTGAGACAGGGAACCAGTTAAGTTCTGCAGTCGGCCAGATAAGAGGGTAGGAGGGACCTTGGTTGTATTATCAAAGGTAGTAAGCAGTCAGTAGATTTGAAATATTTTGGGGGAGGTGGAGTTGACAAGACTGAACTGATGTCCGGATATGAGTATGAAAAGAGAAATATGGAAGACTCCTAGATTTCTGGTTTCAGAAACTACAGATAATAGGGTCTTATTCTATGATGGGGCAGTTCTGGGGCAGTGGCAGGGCAGTAGGAATAGTTTTGTTTTGCCCATGTTAATCTCAAGACATCCAGGGGAGATGTAACATCCACAGATCCAGGTACAGAGATAGAAGTAGACAGATGTATCTGGGACAGGAGCCAAAGGGACATGTCTAGAATATACTGAGCTTCCCTATTACTACGGATGAACCATCTGCGCTTCTGCCTAAAACCATCTCTATACTGAGAATTACACCTCTTGCCCACTCGAAGGCATTCTCCCTAACTCCTGCCTCATTAGTTTTTCTGTCTCTAATGCATCATTCTCCTATTATTTCTCTCATATAACAAGAGAAAAATAACACACCTCTCTTGACCCCACTCTTTTCTCTTCTCTCTGCAGAAAAACTCCTCACACTAGTCACACCAGCTCTATAGTCTGCAGTGCATTGTGGTTAAAAGCATGGAGTGCTGAGGTAGAATGGCTGTTTGATACCTGCCACCACTTTTACTAGACATGTGACCCTGGACAAGTTACTTAACCCCTCTCTCTGATAAAAGTGTTTGTTAATAAATAAATAAATAAATAAAATCTTATTGTATTTTACACTCACACCAGGCCCTCGCCTCCACTACTCCACCCAAACTGGTTTTGATCTCCATGCTGCTAAGTCTAAGGATCAATTCTCAATCCTTACTTTACTTGACATTTGGACAGTTACATGACACAGTGGATTGTATTCCCCTTCTTAAGTTACATTCTTTACTTGGCTCCCAGGACATCTCCCAGTTTTCTTTTTAATGCACTATTTGATCTTTATCCTCTTTGCTAGTTTTCTCCTCTTCTCTTAGAGATAATTAGAGCCTTAAAGTTTGGGATGCTCTGGAATTTCATCCTTGCTCCTCTCTATCTCTCTTTTGGTAACCACATTTAGTCTAAAGACTTAAAACACTATTATATTCTGGTGGCTTCCCGATGTATTTCTCCAGTTCAGACTATTCTCCTGAACATTGGACATCTATATCTAATTACAGAACAGACATTTCCATTTGGATGTCTAATAACATCGCAAATTTATATCTACAATAAAGTTCTGTTGTTCCCTCCCCAAGTCCTATAGTTTTACCCAGGCCCATGGAAAGCTGCTTCATCCTTCGATTGTCCAGGCCAAAACCATGTGTTAACCTGACTCACACACCATGCCCAGTCTGTTCACAAATACTACTTGTTCTACTTTTTAAATAAATCCATAATTGACCACGTTTCACCATTTCCACTACTGTTAACATGGTCCAGATTACCTTCAATTCTCTGCAATTGCCTTCTAACTAGTCTCCCTTATGCTCCCACCTCCTCCCAATGCCCAAACATGATATTTGTAATGACTGTTTCAACACTTACATTAGCTCATGTCACTCCTCTGCTCAAAGCCTTCCAATGGCCCCCAAACACACACATAGCCCTCCAGCCAAGCTCTCTGACTTCATCTCCTATTTCTCTTCTCTTTGCTCCCTCTACTTCAGCAACTCTGGCTCCTTCCTATTCCTGAAACACACCAGGCATACTCCTGACAAAGGGCCTTTGCACTGAGTGTATTGTCTACATAAACAGTCTTCACTTAGGTATCTGCTGGGCTTTCTTTATCTCACTTTTCATCTTGGTTCAGATATTACCTTCTCCATAAGACCCCCAGGCCGTCCTGGCCAGCCACCTGCACTCTATCCTCCTTACCCAGGTCTACTTTTCTAACTCCTAACACACTATATACTTTCCTTATTATGCTTATTGTTTATCATCTGCTTCTCTACAGTAAAATGCTCTACCACTGAGCTATACCCCCACCTTATCATCTGCTTCTCTAACTTTTTTAGTTAGATTTAAGCCCCAGTAAGGGCATCTCAAGCACCCAGAAATGTGCCTGGCAGAAAGGTGCTCAATATAAATTCACTGAATGAAGTATGAAGATATCGATATAGGAGACTGTTCAAGTTGGTGATGGAAAGAGGAGGCACTTCTAATCTGATTGTATCTGATTTCCCTGGATGAGGCTAGATCATTGTCAAAGGGGAGGAGGAAGATGTAGAAGACTTAAGATAGTCTCCTTAGAAAGTAGAACAATCTGCCAGGACCGGTTTGGCTTAGTGGATAGAGCGTCGGCCTGCTGACTGAAAGGTCCCGGGTTTGATTCTGGGCAAGGGCATGTACCTCAGTTGCGGGCACATCCCCAGTAGTGGGTGTGCAAGAGGCAGCTGATTGATGATTCTCTCTCATCGATGTTTCTAACTCTCTATCCCTCTCTCTTCCTCTTTGTGAAAAATCAATTTTATATATATATATATATATATATATATATATATATATATATATATATGAAAGTAGAACAATCTATTTACTAGGGAAGCATGGTTGAATTGTCAGGTAGTGTTAAATATTCTTTTAGACTTGTGGCCTTACATCAGAGAAGAGTCCAGTGCATGTTTTAGAAACATCTATAAGACAAGAAGGCTGTTTAAAAATATAAGACAAAACAAACCCATAAAAACAAACAAACAAACCCATAAAAACTAACAAACAAACAAATAAACAAACAAATAAGACATAACTGCATTTTAAATGATACTTGGTAGTATTGTAGAACAAGCTTGCCTTTATTGTATTACTTTGCCATTTTGCTAAAGGTTTGCTTAAAATTAAATCAGCATTTATTCTCTCAGTTATTGCTCACAGAGCAGTCCATATGCCTGAGCCTAGCCCAGGAGACCTCATCTCCTGCCATTGCTCTCCTCATACCTTACATCCCAGCACCTGCAAACTCCTTACAGTCCCTAGAAATATTATGTTGGTTATCTCTCCTATGTTTCTGAAAACAAGACTCTCTTTTTAGCCCAACTTTGAAATAATTATCCCTTCAAGATTCAATATAATAAAGCCTTTTCTGACTCTCTAGGGCACAAACTGCTCACTCCCTTTTTATATTACCACAGTACCTCTATTATATTTTTGCACATTGTACTACAACATATTCAATCAGCCATTTCCTGTACTACATGGTAACCTCATTGGGGGCAACAGATTATGTCTTTTTCAACATGACTCTTCACTATCCAGCACAATGGTATTCAATCAATATTTACTTAACAAGTTCTTCGTATGGATGCATTTTTTAAAAAACATTCAAGGCATCTAATACATAAAACCTTGTAAAGAATAATGGTCCATCTTGATACTTGAATAAAGTAGTCCATACCATATGATATATACTATTAGGTTTGCTTTGGGCCTTACTAATAAATCTAATTCTCTCTAAAAGTATTCTTGTTTTAGAGTGGGGTTGTCTTTTCCTAAGGGGAAGAATTTAAAGAGAGATATTTGTTTTCAGTCATGCATGAAACATGCCTTCTTTTAAATGCAAACTACCTGAAACAATAAAAAATCATTTCTTCCCAAAGTTATGATGGATGCCTTCAACTTTGCAGTTGTCTTAAGCAGTTTAAGAAACTTCCTTGATGAAATATCAGGGTAGTTTGTGAAGGAGAAAAGACAAAAATCTAGGAGAATTTTGGGGTTTGTTGTTTGGAGGAGGGAGGGTTGGAAATCTCTCAAAATGTCCTTTGTCATATAATACTTAAAAATTTAATAAATGAGGAAAAGATTAAAAATGAATAGGTTATGATGAATACAAATGAAGGGTCTCAGGAACCTGAAGCAAACATGACTGATATTAAAGTCCTTACTTTGTTTGTCCAATTCGGTGCACCCTTCCTATGGCCTGAAGCTCATGGGCAGGGTTCAATATGGGCTCCACCAAGAGAACGTGAGTAGCTTCAATGATAGTTAATCCATTAGAACCTGTGTGCAGGGGCAGCAGCAAAATATTGATTTGGGGATCATGTTTAAATGCTGAAAGGTTCTCCTAAAAAAGAAAGGTACATTTAAATTTTAGCTGGATCAGTTGGAAATAAGAGCAATATATTACAGCTTATGTTAAATATGCCTAGTGGTATTTAGGTCACTGTGGAATATAATAGCTAAGAAAATTAAATGTAAAATTACTATTTTTAGAAAATGTAAACTTATTGCTTGACTTTATGAGTACAAGTGTCTCCTAAGTTCTAGTTGAATCACTATGTGGTGTATGCAAGTTAAACTGTATGAGCTGAGAGGAGAAAAAGAGCAAGAATATGCTAGAGCATGTGTGAGATAAGCGACATGAATCTGCTCAATGTTCACTTGGTCTTTTTGTGTGTGTTTGTCTTGTTGGGTGTGCACTGTTGTTGCACTGAGTGTGATGTGAAGACAATCTGACCACACGCAGCTGTGCCTGATGCAGTGAATTTAGAACCTAACCCCCGGGGCATGAGGTCCCAGTCCATTCAAAAGGTACGTTGTGGGCCATCTTTTGTTATATTAAAGAAATGTGCCTCAAGTCAGAAGAGATCATGCTATGGGATAACTGAACAAAAAGAAAATAACTACAATTTCTCTACTTTGCTTTATAATTAATCAAGACACACGGCAATAAATAAAAGTAAGCTAGTTAACAGAACTTTCCATTTACAAGTGAATCCACTTTAAAAAACATAAGAAAATCTTGGCATACCTGAAATGTCTTCACACGACTGATCTGTGCAAATTCCATGTTGTTGTCAGTGAGAGCTTTTGAAATAATATCTAATACATCTTGCCACTAAGAACACATAAGATAAGAAAATATTTATACATAGCTTTCACATGAAGAGAATTGAAAAGGAACTAAGTCAAAATAACTTCCGTACCTCAGAATTAAGTAGTAAACACAAAACCAAAACCTTTAAATAAAGTACCATCAATATTATTTAATTATTATATTGAAATGGTAATGTTTTTATTTTTTTAATCAAATGCTAGCTAAAGATCAAGATAGGGTAAACAAAATAATCATCTTTGAGAACTGAACTAAGATAAGCATAAATAATAGAAAATTAATAATGGAAGGTTTAATGAATATGGTTACTTATCTTTCCAAAATGAAAACTAGAATTTTTATTCAGTTGATTATCTTTCTCTTAAACAATTAAGTTCATTTGCGAAATGAGACTTTCAAGGTTATAGAGCCCAATTTTTAAAAATATTAGTAATATAAGAAAATCTCCAAGAAAAAGGAATATAAAAACACGAAATGTTGCTATTGGGATTGTCTTGTGAAACATCATAAACTTTTATAAAAATAATTCTATAGTATGGACATAGAAAATAATCAGTAATTCTAAATCCTACCTATATTATGGTAAACTTTAATAACTAGTTCTCAGATATAAAATGATTTGACCGAAAGCCAGTTGGCGTTAACAGTGAGGATGAAAATGCTCATTATACCGTTGAGAAAACGAGTGCTTTAGCTTCTGGATCTCTAAGCTGGATTCTCATCAGAGTTCTGACCACAGCTTCCACTTTTGTAGAATGACTACCCTTTGAACACAAAGAAGAAAACACATTACTACCAAATAAAATCTAGTTAACAATAGAAGGGAAAACCATTATAAAACACTTTTATTTCAAAACTATATGATAGGTACATAGGTGTTTATCCTTTTTTTATTTTATATTTTCTGGGAATTTTCTTTAGCCTCAAAAGTGTACAAGTTATAGAATTTACACTCTGAGAGAATCTATATAATAAAAGCCTAAGTGACTTTTATGTAAGGTGACCAGATGTCCTGCTTTTGGCGGGACAGTCCCAATTTTTAACAATTTGTCTCACGTCCCGCTGCATTTTTAAAAAGTCCCAATTTTTGGAAACAACGCGGGACGCAGGAGAAATTGTTAAAAATTGGGACTGTCCCGCTGAAAGCAGGACCTCTTGTCACCTTACCTTTATGGCACAAAGACCAGAATGACTGGTTGCTATGATATGCAATGATCACCACGGGGATGACGCTCAACACAGGAGATGACCCTTGGTAGTCAATGCACTCCCACAGGGGAAGCACTGCTCAGCTGGAAGACAGGCTCATGGCTGGTGAGTGCAATGGCAGTGGCAGGAGCCTCTCCTGCCTCCACGGCAGTGCTAAGGAGCAGCAAGCCAGCGGTAAGGATTAGTGAGCAGGTGGGTGATAAGGAGTGAGGGGTCCTGGACTGCAAGAGTGTGCAGGCTAAGCTGAGGGAACCAACCCTCCAGTGCATGAATTTTGTGCAACGGCCTCTAGTCTATATATATAAAAGGCTAATAAGCTAAGGGTCTGACCATTTGACTGTTCACTATGATGCTCACTGACCACCATGGAGCAGACACTCAATGCACAGGCATAGATACATGGAACAGACTGAGGAATCTCAGAAGGAAGGTAAGAAGAAGGAGGGTGGGAAGAAATTAACAAAAGATCTAATATGTATACTAGAGCCCTGGTGCATGTATTTGTGCACCAGTGGGGTCCCTCAGCCTGGCCGGCAGGGATTGGGCTGAAACTGGCAGCCCAACATCCTCTGAGGGGTTCTGGATTGCAAGAGTATGCAGGCCAGGCTGAGGGACCCCACTAGTGCATGAATCCGTGCACTGGGCCTCTAGTCTAAATATATAAAAGGCTAATATGCTATGTGTCTGAACGTTCGACCAGTAGCTATGTCGTGCATTGACCACCAGAAGGCAGACACTTAATGTACAGGCATGGAAACATTCTGTATTCAAATAGGCATGGAATAGACTGATGAATCTCAAAGGGAAGTGGGGAGGGTGGGAAGAGAATAACCAATGTGGGAAATCTTACGGTGCATAAGTCCATCATAGAGGCCTGGTGTATGGATTCATGCACTGGTGACCAATGGGGTCCCTCAGCCTGGCCTGCAGAGATTGGACTGAAATTGGCAGTCCAACATCCCCCGAGGGGTCCTGGATTATGAGAGGGACCCCACCAGTGCACTGGGCCTCTAGTTGAATATAAAAGGACACCAGAGAATTGTACATAGATATAGCCCTGAAGATAAGATTTTGTAGCATAGATTTTTCTTTAGATTTCTTTGGTGGTTTGTAACTTGCAAATAACTTGAATGTTTCCCACTACTGTTCAGTTTAGAGGAAGTCACTTGTCTTGGTATTTTATTACTTCCATTACATTATACATATGGAAGTAATAAGAAATATATATATTTCTTTATTGATTTCAGAGGAATGGAGAGGGAGAGAGAGAGAATTATTGATCGGCTGCCTCCTGCACACACCCTATTGGGGATCAAGCCTGCAACCCAAGCATGTGCCATTGGCTGGAATCGAACCTGGGACCCTTCAGTCCACAGGCTGACACTTTATCCACTGAGCCAAAACAGCTAGGGTTACTTCCATTACTTTTATTCTGGACTTTTCTTTTTGAAGTAAAGCTAACTCTCTCAATGTGCTTGTGCTATCCATAGTAGTTTCCACTAAGACCAGCTAACATTGTTTTATTTCTGTCTGCACCTGTTCACAATGCTAAAAACCCAAATTGGTAGTGACACATACAACTTGGTGCTGTTATGCAACTTGTATTACTGGTCTCATAAAGTGGGAATACTTTTCAAGCAAATGCCTGGGGTAAGTGCTGGGTTCTTAAGTATTCACATATTACTTGATTGAAGTTAAATGGAAATTCTACCTCGGCTGTGGAAAATCTTACGGTGCATAAGTCCATCAAAATATTATCCTGTTCTTTTAAACACCTTGAATAATGATTTTTAAGAGATAAGTTAGCAATAGCAAAAAAGTAAAAGCTTTATTTAGACACAAAGGGTCTGAGGGATATTACCCTATATAATAAAGGCTAATATGCCCCTCCCCCCTGCCAGCCTGGCCCGATTGGCTCCATTGGATCCAGCTGGCTAGAAGTGCACGAATTCATGCACCAGGCCTCTAGTATGTAAATACTAAACAATTGTCCATCCATCCATCTATCCATCCACTCAATGGGCACCTGTTACATGCCAGGCATTGTTCTGGATGATGGGAACACAGTAGTAAATAAAACAAAGTTCCCACCTCAAGAATAATGTCCTTTCTACATTTTAGTAGAGTTTATACTCTTCATAAAGGTAATTTCATAAAGATTATTTATGGTTTAAATCATAGAAATACATTTTCTCCTGGATAGAAACTTCTCATGACATAAAATCCTTGTCCATTACAGGGTCAGGGTTTCCACCAACAAAAATGCTCTGTGTAAAACCTAGCCAAATATAGGACACAGGAAACATGCCACGTGGGGCTTATGTTCTGCCAGGAGGCCTACTTCAGTATCCAAAATGCCTGGCAGTTGTCAGGACTTGCAAGGGGAATTTTGTTTACTTTGTGAAATGCCCAGTAGGTTCCAAGGGTCATTTAGGAATACTGTCATACTGTCGTTAGGGCAGATACAGTCTTTAACTTACAAGCATCCACTATAGAGAACATTCTGATCTCAGTATTCATTTGATTTCTATGCTCAATCTATAGAATCTCTTATATTATGAAATACTAGTAGAAAAAAAGTCTTACATTATTTAATACCATTTTTATATTCTTTAAATATTTATTTATCTGAGATCAGCTACATAATTAAGCACTATGTATGATATTACATTATTTAATATGTCCAACAGTATCAACCATTGGCTTAGAGTGAAAATATGGTTCTATTTTAAAAATATGGTTTTATTGATTTTTAGAGAGAGAAGAAGGGAGAGGGATAAAGAAATAGAAACACTGATAAAGAGAAACATTATTGATCAGTAGCCTACTGGGGATCAAGCCACAACATGGTATGTATCCAGACCAGGAATGGGTCAATACTCAACCACTGAGTTATACTGGCTGGACTGAAATAAATATTTTAGATAAAATAAAAACTGTAATGAAATTAAGAAAATTACTTCTCAGAGTTGTTTAATAAAAATCAGGGATTCGATAATAAATAATAAGAAAACCTAAATTTAGGAATAGTATGAACTAATATTTACAAAATTTCAAAATAATGCCTTCATTATTCACATAGAGCCATCTTTATTTTATATCTGACCACATCCTCAACTCTAGTTAGAGGATGTGAGCATTTTATGGGAGAGTTTTAGATAGTTAGAAGAGTCCAATGAAAATCTGAGAAAACAATAAGCAGATGCTTCAAGACAAAGTGGCAGACACCAGGGCAGACATGTGACAGAACTTAAGAAAAGGGAACAGGCAGCAGAAGGCAGAAGTGACAGGCACAAATGGTAACAGAAAAGGCAGCAAGAAGCAAGATGAGAATGTGAAAGAGGGATACAATTTGCTTGCATAATAGGAAAAATATTCAGTCATTTATTTAATTAAAAAAAAGCATGTATATGTCTATGACAAAATATAAATTAACTTTAGTAAATTTGTAGTCTTATAATTTTTATAAGATGCTTTAATTAATTCATGTGTTCATCAAAACCCATGAAAGACAGGAAGAAATTAGAACACAATGAACACAGCTGTACACTGATACCCCTGTCCTAACAGGACAACAAATGGAACTGTCTTAGTCTCTTTCCTGGGGTCTAGGAAAGCTGCCATAGGATAAACAGGTGTTAGGTTTGGTGGGTTCAATGACTCAGTTTCACAGAAGCTGTACTGTTTACTTGTAGCTAGAGTGATCACTTCCTAAACCTCAGCGTAATAGGCCTGACACAGCAGTTCTGTCATATGCTGCTTCCTGTACTGTGAATGCTTTCATCTAAGAGTCAGCAGCCCTTCTTAGGCAGGAATGCCATCTGTGGCCCTTAGGATGCCTGAGGCCAGAGGAAGAGACAGAAGAAAAAGAAGAAAGAGCTAAGAAAGACCATTTTTATTAGAAGGAAAGGGAGAAATAAATACAAGAGTAGAGAGAAAGGAGGAGAGGGGGACAGAGAAGGAAAGTAGTTCTTTGTGTGGTGAGTAGGATAAAGTATAACCAACTCTAAATATTATTCACTAGGACCCATTCAACCCATTCAACATCCTGGTCTCACTGCTTCATCTTCTAGAACCCTTTTTCCTTTACCTCACTTGGGTCACCCACTTCTCCAGCCACATCTGGTGTCCTAAATACCTGTCCTTTCTGAAAATGACTAATGAAGATTGCCTATTTTTTTTTTTATTTTTTTTTTTTTGGCTAAAAACACCTGATCTTACAGCTTGTTTGCTTGATAGTAGAACCTCTGCCTATTATTTGGGCAGTGCTGACAGTCTCCTCCTTATCAAAGCAGAGTGTTCCTGTGGCCTCTGTGGACAGCACACTCGCCTGGAGTGCTGTCTCCAGGTGCTCCTTCTAGCTCTCCTTTTTCAGCCTGCTCCCTTTATTCCACCTTCACAAAGCTATGGAGTTTTGCAGGACCCGATCTGAAGCTAACTTCCATGTTCCTTTCCTTAGGTAATCTCATTCTCTCTCATGGCTGCAAAGATCTCGTATGCCAGTGACTGACTTTAAATCTCCAGCTCCACATATTAACGCTTTGCTGGATAGTTCTAATCGCATGTCTTAGGCACTTCAAAGATAGTATGTCTAAATGTACTCCTCTTCCTGCCAAGACCTGTTTGGCTCAATGGATAGAGCGTTGGCTTGGGGACTGAAAGGTCCCGGGTTCGATTCCGGTCAAGGGCATGTACCTTGGTTGCGGGCATATCCCCAGTAGGGGATGTGCAAGAGGCAGCTGATCGATGTCTATCATCGATGTTTCTAACTCTCTATCTCTCTCCTTTCCTCTCTGTACAAAATCAATAAAATATATTTAAAAATAAATAAATAAATAAATGTACTCCTCTTCCAAATACCTTAATACAGTAACTGCACCATTATCTCCCTGACTTTTTCACATCAGAAACCAGGAGAATCTTTTTCATCAGCCCCTACAACATTCTATCTTCTAATCAACTTTACTCTAAACATCTCTTAATATATCCACTTCTTACCATCACCACTGCCACCAATGAAATCAAAGACATAATCACTATCGCTGTAGCCTCTTAAACTGGTCTCTCTAAATGTTCTCTACTATTTTCTATACAGCAATGTAACTGATATTTTCAGGTTTTATTCAAGTAACAGTAGAAATAAAGAGCAATTAGGTATTTTTAAATCCAACTATAGTTTTCTCAGGAGGGGGCATCCTAACAACTGCCTAATATCCTAACAGCTTAACTGAGACTGCCTAAGTGGGGTAGTTAATTTTACCCCAAAATACAATCCTTAAACATAGTGAGAAGAGAACCTCAAGGACCCAGAAGGAGAAGGAATTAAGGAAAAAGATTCTATTACCTCTTGTGTGAGTATATGCCACCATTCTCTCGACTATCCTTCTGGCCTACATCTCATACTATATTCATGTATTTATTTGTCCTTCATCTAAGCTTGGTTAGGGGAAAAACAAACAAACCACGTTTAAGAAATACAAAGAACAAAAAGTCTAGAACAGACTTTCCTGAATAAATTACAGATCATGTTTAGATTTCAAATTATGGTCACTTCCTTAAAATTTGGAATGAAGCCCTAGCTGGTTTGACTCAGAGGACAGAGTGATGGCCTGAGCACCAAAGGGTCCCGGGTTCAATTCCGGTCAAGGGCACATACCTGGGTTGCAGGCTCCTCCCTGGACTGAGCCCTGGTTAGGACATGTGTAGGAGGCAACCAATCAATATGCTTCTCTCACATCGATGTTTCTCTCTGCCCCCCCCCACTCCCCCCCAAAAAAAATATCAATGGAAAAATATCCTCATGTGAGGATTAACACCACTAACAAAAAAGTTTGGAATGAAGCATGGGGGGAAAAATTAGGGAAATAAAGCCAAGTTTAGGTTGCACCCTGAAATATTAATCCACACCATTTAAAAGACCACTACCTTCAGTAACCCGTCTATTTTCTCCTTCAACCTGGTTGGGCATATCCTTTTCCCCAGATATCCAGGGCTAAATGAAAGAATGAGGACAGAAGCTTTCTTTAAATAAATCTCTAATGTAACCAGAGCACTATTTGTAGTAGACAGATACTATAGAAAATAACAGGGAAGTGGAATTCTAAAAGGCACGTTTTAGCCACAGTGGGCATGCCTATTACTATGAGGGAGAGAGTGTTCTTGTGTTCTCACAGGAGAGGGTAGAGAGTGAAGCTGAGGCATTTGGGTAGTGTGTCCAGAGAGACAACAGTGGTTCCTACACATGTGCAGCCTTATTTTGATTTTGATTTTCTCATTTCCTTGAATAGTCTTCTACATTTTCTTAATCTACTTCACCTTCACAGGAATGTCCTCTTCCTGGCTGGCTTTCTCCGAGGTGAAGACATACGAGATTTCTTTGTGAGATGTGTTCTGGCGGCAGATGGCACACTTAATGGAGCTTCTGTGGGAGCCCACGCTGTACTGTTCAATAATAATGGAAACGCATTCATTACAGAAACAGTGCCCGCAGGTCAGGACTGCCCACTGGAAAAGAAAACACAGAATATGTTCAGGGAGTTGCCAACGAAGATGCCTCTCAATATATACATATATTTAGAAGAGAAGAAGTCATCATTGCACTGCCTATTTCATGATATGAGTATTCTGTAAGTCATAAAAACTAAGCTGTACATTTAACTGAATGATTTTTTAAGTCCAGTCAGAGTAAGCTTTCATAGTGTTTAGTTCTGCTCACCTTAACAGTGAGCACAATAGTCAGCTAGTCGCTGTTATTTATAAGAAGTGGATATTCTCGTTTCAGTATTTAGGAAGAATGTGAATTACCCCTTCATCACTCTAATGGCAGATATAATACAAGGACTAAGAGCAACATTAATTTGGAGGCAATATAACACTCAATATAGTCCATACAACTTTTAAATACTTTAACATTTACATTTTCCCATGTTAAAACATTTATTATATAGGTAATAAGATGGACTAGTATCTCAGGTATGTCTTAAAAGTGGTTCTGTGATACATTAAAAATTATGAAATAAACAAATAAAAATATTTTTTTTGAAAACCCCCTTCTCATATTTTAAGAAAGACACATTAACTTTTCTGAAGCATATTTGTGGGGATTTATCCCCTTTTTAGTGGAGGTGGGGGAGTGTAGAAGAGCATTAGACTTAATTGAGGTGTCCGTTATAAAAGTTCTGATATCTTGTGTTAATTATTCAACCTTCCACCTGATAAAAACCACCAACAATTAAAACAGAATGGTGCTAGGAGTGACAGGCTCCTAAGCCCTAAGCTATGATGTGCCTGAACTTGAATGGAAAGACGGTGTGTGGCTGGGCCTTCTCTAGGTACTCTGCAGGATGGAATAGAAAGTCTCTTGGAAAAGAAGCCACACTAAAGGAAGAGAAAATGTGATATCTAAGCTAGGTTTAAAAACCCTGACTGGGAAGGGGCAGGGTATTTGGATTTTCCTGGTGATGCAGTTCATGATGCTCTCTAGGTGCACCTCTGCTCTCAAGGACTGGGAGTCCCCAGGAGGGAGGCTGCAGGGAAATGACTCAGTGGCATTTCTGCAGACAGAGCAACACTGTTCTGTGGTCCATGCACCTTTAGTGCCATGGGGGATGAAGGGCACTTCCTTTAGAAGCCAGAGTCATCTGATAGCAGAACATTAGAAGTGACAGGAAGTTGACTGACATAGCATAAACAGAAAAACAGACAAAGAGCAATGCCTTCGAAAACTGTGAAGTGTTTTATAAATGCATGTGATGTTTATTATAATTTCACCTGTTTTCCCAGCTGCCGAGCACAGATTGGACAAGGTTCTGGATTAATACCTCCTGACGTTTTGTCTTGAGACTATCCAAAAGAGAAGAATTCAAAAATATATTCGTTATATTTGGAAACCTGATACAAATACAACTCATTTATGGAAGTAAAATCTGGCAATTGTAATTTTAATAACCTGCTGATTAAGATGATCTGATAATTTATATTTTATTACTACTATTATCATTCTTGGGATTTACAAATAACATTTACTAAAAAAGTGAACAAAAAATGGAAACAATTTTTATTATAGTTTGTTAAATTTATCATATTACTGTAGTTGTGATTATCATAGAAGGCAAAATGAAAATAAAAATATGACATAATTAACTAATTCACAGATTTGTTACAAAGAAATTATATATTCTGCATGTCTGCTTTGCATGGCTCACAGACATAGTATTTATTTCTATAACTCCTGATTAATACTGGTTTCTTCTCAGTATCCTTTTTCTAATCTCATTAAGGCAAAGCAAATAACTAGATATCAGAAATATTATTGATCTGAAACCTAATTAATACATGGGAATTACATTGAAGTATAATAGTTTTTCAAAATCTCCTTAAAACTATTTAAAAAATTGCCGAAACCGGTTTGGCTCAGTGGATAGAGCGTTAGTCTGCGGACTAAAGGGTCCCGGGTTCGATTCTGGTCAAGGGCATTTACATCCAGTAGGGGGTGTGCAAGAGGCAGCTGGTCGATGTTTCTCTCTCATCAACGTTTCTGGCTCTCTATCCCTCTCCCTTCCTCTCTGTGGAAAATCAATAAAATATATTAAAAAAAAAAAACTATTTAAAAAATTAAGAGCTTCAAAAAAGTCATCAAATGGGTAGGTTTTCAAGCTGAAGAAAACATAAAGGATTACTTAAGTTTTTAAGTCTATGGTTTCACTAACCAAATAGTTTTTTTTTTTACAAGTCATTGCTCTTGATTATCCTTGAATCTCTTAGCAACTCTCAAATATACATACAGTATTAAATATAGTCACCCTGCTGTACATTATATCCCCAAGACTTATTTATTTTACTAGTAGCCGTGCAGGAATCCATGCACCAGTAGCTTGCTGCCACCCTCCAGTAGTTCTCTGCTCACTGCCTTTCCCCCTCCCCTGTACTCCCTCATAGCTTGCTGCCCTGTACCCTCCTGTAGCTCCCTCTGCCCTCCTATAGCTCTCCGCTGCCCACTTATAGCTCTCTGCCCCACCCTCCTGCTGATCCATGATCTGGTCGTTACATGGTCAGTCACTACGCTTCATGGAGTAACAAACATTTGCGTATTACATCTTTATTATATAGGATAACTCAAAGTTTGTATCTTTTGACTCGTTTCAACCATTCATCTCACCCACCTCTTGAAACCTGAGACCCTTTGGGGAATGTCCGATTGCTGGTTTAGGCCTGATCCTGAAGTTGGACATTCCTCTCAATCCAGGACCGCTAGTTCCTAACTGATTGCCCCAACCACTTTGCCAGCCTGTCTCATCGCCCCTAACCATTCACCTGCCTTCCTGATGCCCATAACTGCTGGCCTGACTGCCTGATCGCCCCTAACTGCCTCTGCCTCAGCCCCTGCTGCTGTGGCTTCGTCCGGATGTCTGGAATCCAGAAGGTCATTTGGCTGTCCGGTCTAATTAGCATATTATACTTTCATAATTATAGATTAGATTCCACATAAAATAGAGATCATATTGTATTTGCCTTTGTCTTATTTCACGTAGCATAATGCCTACAAGGTCCACCCATGCTGTTGCAAATGGCAAGAATTCATTCTTTTTTTAATAGCTGAATAATATTCCACTTTATCTATTCATCTCTCAGTAGACTCTTAGGCTATTTTCACATCTGGGCTACTGTGAACAATGGCTCGTCATTACCTGCTTCTATTATAAAGAAATAGAATTCCTCAACAAGTAATAGACTCTTTAAATGCTTTAGAGTCCACTTAACCAGTAACTGACACTGAAAAAAGCTGTTTGATAACATAACATGTTAACCTTCAAATTTCTGTAGCATCTTAAATGCAGGCCGTTCTGCTCTAGTCATTTATTTAATCTTTCAAGTTCGGTTGAATCACTAACATCTTAATCACTACTTGATCTAGTGCCTATGATATGTCCACATCAAATTACTCAAAAATCCCTTGAGGCCAGGGACCAAGTCTGTCTATCTCAAACTTCTAGTACAATGTATGTACATAGTAGATGCTCAATAAATATTTGTTGAGTGCCAGAAAAATTATTTTTAAAAATTAAGTTCATTATCTTTTATTTCAAATAAACATAGTCACAAAAATTGGGATTATATTCCATTTATAATTTTAGTTATTTTTTCCCTCTCACCTTTCTAACATGAGCATTTTCTCATCTCATTTATTCACAAAAAGCACCATTTAAAATATTTAATCATGTCATGACAATAACCCATAATTTATATAAATGTAATTTTTGTTGGACATAACTACTGTTATATAAAGGTATGCACTACATGTTATATAGTGCATACCTTTATATTATCTATATAACAAATTTTCTATAGATCATCATCTTCATTTGTGATGAGTGTAACTATTGTAGGCATAGCTAGTATTCAGACTCATATATCTAACAACAAATAAAACATTAATTTAAAAATCCCTGTTATTATGGGACTGATAGTTTAAATGGTGTCACTAAAGTGGTTTATTGATAACATAGCATGGGACAAAAGTAGCATATTTTAAAATAATACCTTCTCCAAGTTAGTTAGGTAAAGAAGCTGCCCAAGTTTTTTCTGAAGCTGTGATGCAGCAACAGCTTTATCATTTAGCAGTTTTATCCGATTTTGCTCCACCTGAAAAACAAAATAACTTTATTCTATCTCAGAATGATGGTAAAGTTATATTAAAAATGCATACTTCTCCCTCAATAATATAAATATGTCCTCTTTTAAGCAAACTTATTTACATGTGAAAACTCAAATGTGCAAAATGGATACTAGATAATATATTTCAATAAGAAATGTATATATTTTTTGCTTAAAACTCAATGTCAAAGTTTTAAATAGGAAACTTTCCAATACACTTGAAGTCAGATATTAAAAAAAAAAATTAACCCAAATGTTATCTGTTTATGTTTCTGATATTTATAGAAGTGACATCATTTTTCAGTACATCCATGAATAAAGAAAAATGAAATAATATGCTACGCTGGCCAGAGTGATTTTAAGAAACTTGAAGAAAAATCTCAATGCCCCCTTCCTCTCTATTGCTTCCTCAATAGAATATAATAGACAAAACAGGAATATAAAAGATAAATTTGTTAAAAGAACAACGCAAAAAACACTTGCTAAGGCTTCTATTCTGAAAACTGACCAAGAGTATCTTTAGGCTGTGTCATATAGAAGGTGTTCAAAAACTAGGTGAATCTGCAATCTGGAGAGAAACAAATGAACCAAAATATAAGTATTAGATATGAAATTGCTCATCTTTGACCATTTCTGACCTACATAATCAAATAACTTCCTATGGACCAAACTAAGAGAAAAAATTAAACACATACTTATTGTAGAGATCATTGCCCTGACTCTCTCTCCTCTATGAATCTTGGGTTTTTGTGCTATTTGTTGTGCTCTTTTCTGTGGTTTACTTGCAAATTACCTCATGTGGTTCAATGATGTGAAGAACAGGTGGATTGGGCTTTGGCTCCCTAGGATGACGAATTCTTAGACGTTCTGTAGCCATTGCCAGTTCATCAACAGCAGATACACGATTTCTCAGAGCCATCCAGTACTCATGAAGCAACTGGAGAAACAGAAAAGACAAAGATGTTGGTAAAGCACATAATTAAAATTGGCTAAAACCACCATGATGTGCCTCAGTCAAGTCTTCAATGAGGTCTTATGACAGTGAAATTTTCATTAAGTGTCTAAGGAACAAGCAATTCTTTGTAGGAAGAGACTGGAAATCTCCATAGGACATTGTGAAGTATTGCTTCTCTAGATTCTTAGGAGAATAGCCAAAGACTTCTTGGTAGAACCAAAGATCTATACAGCTTCATACTAGGCTAGTGGAATCTCTACTTTATTTTTTAAAGAAATATTTCATATTTAAAATATGTATATATGGCCGGGACCGGTTTGGCTCAATGGATAGAGCGTCGGCTTGGGGACTGAAGGGTCCCGGGTTCGATTCCGGTCAAGGGCATGTACCTTGGTTGCGGGCATATCCCCAGTAGGGGGTGTGCAAGAGGCAGCTGATCGATGACTCTCTCTCATCGATGTTTCTGGCTATCTCTCTCCCTTCCTCTCTGTACAAAATCAATAAAATATATTAAAAAAAATATGTATATATGAAAATGAGAATACGAAAATACATACGTGAGTTCTATTATCCAATTACAGAAAAGAACAAAACTGAATTCTTAGAAAGCCTTTGTGTTCCTTCTTAACTATTTCACTCTTTCCTCACATATTTTTCTTTCAAATCCCACCCCACTCACATGGGATAACCATTATTCTGGGTTGGACTTATTATTCCATACTTTTCATTGATATATACTAATCTCCACATCCTTAATAACATGGATATTTATGTTTCTGATATTTATAGAAGTGACATCAACCATTATCAAACTTTTGATGTGCTTTCTTCACTGACGTTACACTTTGAGGTAGATCCTGATTGATGTGTGTAGCAGCAGCTCAATCATTTACATTGCTGTAAGAGGGTTTAGTCTACAATGTTATAGAGAAAAAAGGTACAAAATTTTGGGAGAATTATAGGATAAGCATTCCTCTGACACAGAGTAAGTGGCCAAACAGAACCCAAAGGAAGAATGTAGAGCTAAGTGGATATAACACAGTACTATCTTTTTCCATGGCTTGCTGTAATTAATTGGTTAATGTGCTTGTAGATTAAAATACTAATGTGAAAGAAAAAAAAGGTTACGAGCCAATGATTTCTATACTCTAAAAATAACTTTCCCAATTTATCAAATATATGAACTGATATAATGGACAGATAGCATGTCTTCTTTTTCTGGATACTTTTATCCTGCTTTAAAAGGCAAGAACTTTAGATTTAAAAAAGATGTTAAATGTAATTATAAATAAAACACTTCTTTCATGGCCTTACCCACCTCACCTACCAAGTAGGATAATGGATTAACAAATCCAAATACAATGACAAATTAAAAATTAATGAATTTTAGAATCTCATCTCAAGGTCATATAATAGTTACAACATGAGGAAATTACTAAAGTATTAATATGAAGGGTCACTTTGTGCATTATAAATAGCAATGGTTTCCAGTCTCATCTATTGAGAAATATTTACTATGTTCTCCAATCTTCCTTCAAGGTTGTTGATGGTTGGTTTTACTCACAGAGCAAAACAAAATAAAAAAATGAAAAAAAATCCCTACTCTAATTTTACAGCATAGTTGTATAAGATCAAGCTAAGAACAGAATGATCATTTTAACAGCTAAATAAAAGGTTTCATATATTTTTATTTTAATAACGATATTCTTTTAGTAACTTAATAAGAAGTTTCTTAACTATTCAGTATTATTATTTTTATTTTTCATCATTACAATCATTACATTTTAGGAAAAATAAATTATAATACCTAAGTCTCTAAGCAGATTTTTAAAAACTAAAGAGAAAAAGAAAAAAGTGGTTATTAAAATTAATGTAATGGAGAACTTTTAATATTGGAAGAAGTTTTAAAATACCGGACCTTATATTCCTTTTTCCAAGCTTCAAAGAGATCCATTGAAGTACTTCCTTCATCAATGAATTCAACAAATCTATGTGATTTTGCAAATGATAGTAGAGCTTTCATAGATCGCTCTGTCTCACTTATTGCCCAAAGACCTCGGTTGGTGGTAGGTGCTCGATCATCCACCAGTCCTTCTTCATCTTCTATCATCTCCTCAAATATTGCAGTCTGGCCTTTGACTCTGAAGACATATGAGAACAAAATAACTGTCCAGTGGGTAAAAAGACTGTAAATTCACATTTGTAGACCCAGTAAGGGAAACAAGGTCAGTAATAAAAATTTCAACAATTTTTAATATCATGTCTACAAGATCATGCTTGCAAGTCATTGGGGAAAAAAAATCACAGCAACTCAAAATGCTTGAGGCATCATAAATTTGATGTTATTTGAGAACCATCTGGCATAATAAATGCCTATAAATTCCAGGCTAAACTATTACTCTGGGAATTAAAACAATATAAAAGACAAACTACTGTCATCAACCATTCAAACCCCACCCCACCTCAAAACATAAGATATTCTAAAAGTACACTGTCAATCACTCTCTTTTGAGGCAATCAGAATTTAGACTTTTGTCAATTTCCATTTTTGTAAGAGAAATAATTTTGCTAATACTATGGCTATTGCACTTACAACGCAGCTTAATTCTTTACACAGGATGAAGATTTCAAATCTGTGTTGGAGAAAGTATATTAATAATGAGAGCTGCCGAAACCAGTTTGGCTCAGTGCATAGAGCGTCGGCTTGTGGACTGAAGGGTCCTAGGTTCCATTCCAGTCAAGGGCCTGTACCTTGGTTGTGGGCACATCCCCAGTAGGGGGTGTGCAAGAGGCAGCTGATCGATGATTCTCTCTCATCAATGTTTCTAGTTCTCTATCTCTCTCCCTTCTTCTCTGTAAAAAATCAATTTATATATATATATAATGAGAGCTAACATTATATAGGACACTAACCATGCATCAAATACTCTGCTAAGCAATTATGTGCATTTTCCTATTCTATATAATAAAAGAGTAATATGCAAATTAACCATCACTCCTCTATACCCACAAGCCATGCCCACCAGCCAATCAGGAGTGAGTATGAAAATTAACCCAAGCAAGATGGCTGCAGCCATGGAACGAGCAGGAGGCTTGAGTTTCTCCAGCAACAGAGGAAGCCAAGCTTTCCGCATACCCTGGCTGGCCTAGGCCTCTACTCAAGGCTATAAAGTTTCAATTATAGACAATAAATAAATCCCAACAAAGATGGCTGTGGCCACAGAGCAAACAGGAGGCTTGGCTCTGCTCAAGGCTACAAAGTTTCAATTATAGAAGATAAATAAATCCCAGATCCCAGGGCCTCCACTTAGGTCACCGGGGTGTGTGGTCGGCCTGTAAACTACCATAGGCCCCTTGCCCGGGCCATCCCACGCCCCAAGGGAACCCTCATCCTGACCCAGGACATTCTTCAGGGCAAACCAGCTGGCTCCCACCCATGCACCAGGCCTCTATCTTATCTAATAAAATAATAATATGCAAATTGACAATCACTCCAACACACAAGATGTGGTCAAAGATCCTGCCCCATGTGGACATAAGATGGCCAGCAGAGGAGGGAAGTTGGGAGTGACTGGGCTTGCAGGAGAGAGCAGTTGGAGGGGGACCAGGCCTGCAGGGGAGGGCAGTTGATGGGGATCAGGCCTGCAGGAGAGGGCAGTTAGGGGTGACCAGGCCTGCAAAGGAGGGCAGTTAGGAGCAATCAGGTTGGCAGGGGAGCAGTTAGGCAACAATCAGTCTGGCAGGCAGAAGTGGTTATGGGCAATCAGAAAGGCAGGCAGGCGAGCAGTTGGGAGCCAGCAGACCTGGATTGTGAGAAGGATGTCCCATATTGTGAGAAGGATGACACACCATCCCCCTCCCCTGTACACGAATTTCATGTACCAGGCTTCTAGTTTAATATTAAAAAAAAACAAAACAAAAAAAAAACAAAAAAAAAACTCAGTGAAATAGTGTTATTATTATATGCATTTCATAAATGAGGATACTTAGACTTATGAAAGTAATCTGCCCACAACAGTGGGCAGGAATTTGAGTTGAAATCTGTTGGGTTCCCAGGGTCTGTTACTCCCCTAAACTCTCTCTCAATTAGACATTATTATATGACATGAGCATTTGGGGGTAAACTGCATAGGTGAAACAGAATATGCTAAATAATCAAATGCCAAAGTTAATTGAATTGCTTTAATAAGAGAAAAATATATATAAGAAAGATTATTACTTATAAATGTCTCATTTTCCTGATGGGAAATAATCAGAGAACTTACGTGTGAGAAAATAGCTTTGATTCATACTCCGTGAACAATTCATCAGCCTTACAAAAGACACAGCTGGAAAAGAAGAAACTGTCAGTAAAATATTCACAAACACAACCAGCAATCAGGTAATTTCTACAAAAGGCTAAGTATTTTGTACTTCAGTTTTTCTTTTCAACAAATATGCCTTGGGGGGTGGGGGGGGGGGAAAGATTTTCAGTATGTGATCCTTTAGAATTTTTATTTTTTTTTAAATTTAGATTATTGATATGCATATCTCTACTTCTGTCTGAATTCAAATGAAAAAAACTTCTATTATATAAACCATTATTTCTTCTCTTAGAAGAAATTTAGCCTGCTCTACCTGGTTTGGATCAGAGGATCAGTGGACAGAGCACTGGCCCGAGGACCAAAGGATCCCATTTGATTCAGGTCAAGGCACATAGAGGCTCAGTCCCCAGCCCTGGTCAAGGTATGTGTGGGAGGCCACCAATCAAAGTGTCTCTTTCACTTCGATGTCCCCCCCTGCCCCTTCTACTCTCTCTAAAAATCAATTAATTTTGGGGTAAGGATTAAAGCAAGCAAACAAACAAAAGAAAAAGAAATTTGGCCTAAAGAAATGATGCCATTTCATCCAATTCTTTCTCCTAGTACCTACCAGTTGAGAGGAAGTCTAATTGGTCGGAGGTGGCAGATTGTTGCAGACTCAATGACATTTCGAGATGGAGGTCCCTCCAAGTTTTTAACAGCCTCTCTTACTAGCTTCTGGAATTTATTTAGTTCTTCCATTTGTGTTGTTAGTAAGAATTGAAGACCTCTGCAATCACGGAACCTAATTTTCCATCACCAGCACCAAACACAACACAAAGAAATAAAAAGGTCAATTTCTTCAAATTCAGAAAATAGTTGCTAAACAAAGAAATTGCAACATTTTACCTAGTCACACTTTAGTGAGTTTACGTTAGGAGTGTATTCTATTGCTATCTATTAGGCACAGAATAATAACATTGGATTATCTATCGATACTTCAAAAAGTCTGATAGTTCCTGATCTCAGGAACTGAAAAACAGCACTCAAAATCTTCTATGTCTGTCTTAGATGACTTTGAAAGATCATGATTGCCATCCTTTTTATTGCTGAATGAGTACAGACATTCTAACTCTATGTGGAGAAGTGACAGCAGGTTGAAAGATAAACACAGAACATTGGGGATAAAGAAAATTAGCCAAAAGATATATTATTTGTTATAAGACTTTATGCATGTGTGTGTATATTTTCAGAATTTATGATATATTAGGCATTTTGCCAAGCATGACTCCTGTGTAATCTCAATAGGTACTATGCTCACGTTATTGAGAAAGCTTAACAAATTAATTTAACTTAAGTTTCAAAGTTATTATATAGCGGTTAGAAGTTACCGTATTTTTCGGACCATAAGACACATTTTTTTTCCCCCAGAAGTGGGGGGGAAAAAGTCCCTGCGTCTTATGGTCCAAATATAGCCTACACATATACTTTAAAAAAAAAGTTTTTTTACTTGCCCGGCTCTGTGTGGTCTCTGTGTGCTTGCCCGGCTCTAAAATGGTTCTAAATGCTGCTGTTTACTTTACAGGATTGATTACATGTGTTTATGACTGTGATGTTGGGTTTTAATGCACATAAAATATTTTAGTACACTATTTGTTTCAGAATCTTTTTTTCTTCATTTCCCTTCTCTAAAAACTGGTGCGTCTTATGGTCCGGAGCGTCTTATGGTCCGAAAAATACGGTAAATCCAAACAATGCTCTTTAATTATTCTGATAAACTATGGATGAAACAGACTAAGAAAAATATGGATGTGTGTATATGGACTTAGGAAAGGAAAAAGAAAGCCCAAATAATAAGAAATTTTAGAAAATGGGAAATACAAACACAATTTGTTTGCTTTTTAAATTGAGTATGTTCTTCTCCTTCCTAACATGCCATATATGTCCTTCCCTTCAAATTATTCATAATAGCTCACTCTTGTTCCTGAAGCTTCTCCAACATTTCAAAAACACTAATCTATTTTTTTCTGTCAATGGAGTTTATTAAAAATACCACTCCTTCTAGTCCTTTGTTGTGTTTAGTTTTTATACAGTCATATTTCTCAAATTATTTATGAGTATTGTCTTCTCATTAAACTAAACTTTAGAAGATAGGAATTAGATCATATCCTTGAAAAAAAACCTATATTCTTATGATGAACTTTTCACTGAAAACCAACATTAAGGCTAATTTTCTGCTGAGATGTGATCTGAGAAGCAATAAGATTCTCTCTCTGTTCTACCCACCTAGAATCAACAGTCCTGCCACAACACCTAAATTTCCAACATCAGACAGATATTCATTTGAGTCAGACTACTAAGGGTACTTTTGATAAAGAGTAAATTTGTTCTTAAGGAACAATTATTCACCATTTCTATATCTAGAGCAATAATCCAATTTACCTATAAAGACTCAGAAAAATAGTGTTGATGAGAAGAAAGATGGGGAATAAAGAACAGGTAACTCTAGAACATAAAACCTGCCACTGTGGCACTAGGATGCTTAGAATGTAGGGAATGAATTACATAGGGAAGTATGAAGGTCTTACTAAAGACAAAATTCTCCAAAACAAAGTCTATTTCAAAACTTTGTCCAATAAAGATAAAAAGAAAATACTTTAAGCAGATTAAAAAAAAAGTAGTAAAAAGAATATTTTTAAGTGACTAATACATAGAAAAAAAGGGTTTCTCTTTTAGACTTACACTTAATATTTTGGTTTGAAGTGTACTCAACAATATAAAATCCAGATGTTCCTATATTTAACTGGACCTCTTAATAACAAATGATGTGAATTTTTAGGGTGGCTAATCATACAGTTATTCTATTTTTTAATACTTTCTTACTTTTCTGACATAGAAAGCTTGCTAGTTTGTTGCTTGTAGTTGCTGGTTATTTCATTTCGCACGCGTTGGACAAGCTCCTCATCAATAGAGAATTCCACTGCTCTATTGATCACATTCAGCCACCATGGAGAATTAGAATGAATCTGTAAAAAAAGACAACAGCTGATCAATTAATATTGCTGTAGTACTCACATATTTCTATCCCTTGGAAAGGTGCTATGAAAAATTCAAAGGTAGCAATAAATGCTACTCTAAAGAAAATTATAATAATGGTGAGTCAAGTATACATTTTTTATATACAATGGGTGAGTACAACTTTTCCACAACATAATTAAAGAGAACACCTGTTTCCTGACTACTCTAGACGAATGAGAACTTCTTGTGCAGACTTGTATATTAAAGTTGTGCTAAAAAATACTTTACCAAAATGAAAATTCAGTACTTCCTCCATATATTTGAAAAGGTAACAGGTTTCTTTCTTAATATAAAGATATTTGCTAATAATACTCAACCAACTGAACTAGATTCTACTCAATAGTCTATGACAACAAAATTATATGCCTGAATATTAAATAATTAATGAAATTAGAAAGGATAAAATGTGGAATAACTGGTAAATATATATATATATGAGTGTATTTTGTGTAACTTCTTTAGACATTGCTACCGATTTCATAAGAGGGAAATTTTAGAAATGACAAATGGCTTGCATTAATTAGAAAAATATCTGTGGTTCTAAAGTTCTGACATCTTAAAAGAAAAAATTTTGGCAACATACACATTTAAGAGTAAAAGATTATGAAAGTTTTTATCTTTAAAAAAAATAACTTATTAAATATACCAAGGTAAAAGAAACCCATTATAGCTTAAAGAAAAAAGAATAACTTCAAACAAGACTCATTTATGCATCTATTCATTCAATTAATAAACATTGCTAACAATGTAGGACAGGCACCATATTAGAGACTTAGAATTCCAACATCACTATATAAGTTCAAATGTCTCCCCACACCAAAACAAAAGCCAAAATGCTATGTCAAGACACACGTAAGAAAGTCATTCTGGAGACATACCTTTCTTTGGAGCTCACGTATGGTCTGCTGCACAGGTAGCAAAGCTTGCTGTGCTTCAGCAACTTCAGTGTTACACTTGGTCATATAATGCTCCCTCAGCTGTCTGGCCTGTGTTAAAACAGCAATAAATAGTATTTTCACTCCAGATCTAGAAAATAACTGAATATGGTGTTTCAAGAACAATGTGGTTATCTTATATTAGAGGCCTGGTGCACAAATTTGTGCACAGGTGAGGTCCCTCGAACTGGCTGATGACTGGGATCATCTGAAGGGTCTGGCCTGACAGGGGGAGAGACCGCAGGAGTTGGCGGCCAGGGGGAGGGACCAAGGACCAGCGGCCCCTCCCTCCATTGGGCTGATTGGGGGAGGGGGTGGCTGGCTGCAGGGAGGGACCACAGGAGGTTGGCCCCAGCAGAAAGCTAACCAATGGCCAATTCTATGAGGAATCAGGCTCCCTTCTCCCTTCTTTCTGGGTCCAGGGTACAAGTGAACCAGATTTGGGGCCATCAGGGCCCCCTGCAGCAAGGTTTGGGTTAGTGCAAGTCATAGCTACCAGCTAGTTGTCTGGACCTCCTGGTCATTTGGTCATAATGGTCACTAAGGCTTTTATATATATAGATATTTATAGGTACTTAACTCAATTTAAGCATAAAACTCTACAAGTACACTGCAGAGAACATAAAAGCTATGACAGAAATTCCTGAGATATATATTCAAGAGAACACCTTTACCTGTTAAGTCACAAAATTCAAGAAATTCCAAGAGTTTGCTCTCAAAATTTTATCAACCTTTTAATTAAAAACAAAAGGGAGAAAAAGTAATATTTAAAATTATGAGGCGAAACAAGGACACCTTTCAGAATCTCTTATCTGATTGATTTTAATTTCTTGGAATTTCCTTCAGTTGAGAAATAATACTTGAGAATATGCACTAACACGGGTGTTACAGATTGACTTGTGCACCCCCAAAGTACATATGGTGAAGCCCTAACTCCCAATGTGACCACATGTGGAGATGGGGTCTTCAAAGGAGGTGATTAAATGTGTAAATGTGGTTAAATAAGACCGTAAGGACCAATATGACTGGCCTCTTTAAAAGAAAAGAGAAAACAGGGATGCAAACAAAGGAAAGGCCAGGTAGGAACACAGCGAGAGGGAATCCATGTACCAGCCAAGGGGAGTCCTCTGGAGATACCAATGCTGCTGACAGATCTTAGGCTACCAGACTGCAGAACTGTGAGAAATAAATTTCTGTTGTTTAACCCTCACAGTCTGTAGTATTTTGTTATGGCAGTCCTCGCAGATAAATGCAACAAGGGTCTAAAAACTCTTTCCCTTTCAACTTAAGGAAGATCACATAATTTGCAAGCAATAGAAATATTGAAAAAAATTGATTCTTAAAAACCAGATAAAACTAGACCACTTTTGACTTAAAAAAAAAAAAAAAAGGTCAATTTTATGAGGTTTGACTGAACAGATACACCTCTCTGGACAAGGCATTGCCGCTCTAGGTTCCCATTACTTCATTTAGGAAAGGAGGAGGTTGAAGTAGATGACTTATTTCTTAGATCGTGTCCAGTTTTGAAATACTCTGTCTTCATATGCTATGCGAGTTAGGCAAAAGTGATAATACATGGAAATGAACCCTTCTTCTCATGGTGCATTTTTCCATTTCCTCTCACAAACTTCCAATTAATTTCTATGAAAACTCATTGGCTATAATTAGTTGATCATTAAAGCTAATAGACTAGACTACCAGAGTTGTCTGTGACTGAAGGTAGTTAAACAGAGTGACTGGTTATATATGCAAAGATTAGATGCCTGCAATGGGAATGAAATTTCACTCAAAAATTTCTACATGTAGACTGCCATCTAACATTAAGAAAGGGCTGTATATACTTATACAATTTCATTTTGTATCTCACTGATTCAAATACAGGCTCTACTGATAGGTTCAATTCATTTCAAACACATCTACTACTCTTTAGAGTTAAGCTTTGCCATCTTTCTTTGACCTTTTAGAAGGCAAAAATCCATGGGCAAATTAGCATAATAAACTTATTAACAATTTAGAGTGAATTAACCTATAATATCACTCTTTCTGGAGTCAATACTCACTGCAGAGGGAACTTCTATAAGAAATACCACTGAAATGTGAATTTACTGTCATAAATAACAGAAGGGTAGCGAAAGTATACAACTTACTATTATTACTAACTATGTTTTTTGCAGATCTGTCATGAGATCAACAAGGTCTTTTTAAATTTGTTGTTTATTTACATTTTGTGCTTTGACTATCAACAACCATATCTACGACAAATGGTTGCCCTATAGCTGCAAGCAGATCAGCAGAGAACTAAAATACTATGGAATATTGTCTTTCTCTGCCATTTAAAATCATCATAGCAAAGTTAGAAATGTAAAAGCAGCAGGAAAACACAATTACTTTTATTTAAAGGCTGTATGCCTTAGGAAATATGAATTGGGTGGAACATGAAGTCTGAAAAAAATATTCTTTAACAGAAAGAATGAAAAATAATAATTACCTCTTCCTCAAGTCTGCCATCTCGCAAGGTAGGAGGTATCCCTGGGTGCTTGTCTGCCAACAATTCCATCAAATTATGAGTTGCATGAAGTCTCTACAAACACACAAAAGGTAGTAATTATGACAGCCAATGCAGAAAATTCTAGGGGGAGAACCTACTGTTCATATGACATGCAGAGCACTAATACCACATAAACATATCACTGATTTGAGTACCGACTTTGTCAGAGAAAACTGAAGTCAGTTTTATGGAAAAGGTTTTAATTCACAATGTCAAAAATTTTCTTCAATTAAAAATCTAGTTTTAGCAGAATATATAATATAGGTGTATTTTTTCCTATTATATATGCATTTGCCTATAAGGGGAACAATGAGTATGCCAAATAAGTCCAATAACATAAAAAGACAGACTGCATAGACTTGATTCTTCTTCTGGGAAATGAGTCTGGATGAGCCTAGCAATTAAATTATGATACACATAGGGATAATGAAATATGTAAGAAAACAGGTCTATGACCTGGACCTTTTGAACTTAAGGGCTGAATAGGAAGAGAGCTGGAGTGAAGATGGTATAGAAAAACTCTTATCTTATATCTCTGTATTTAATATAAGCCAGACTTCTCACTGTGACATGGAGTCTGCAACTAGTTAGAGACCCCGGGAGTCAAGGGCTATGAGAAAAAGTAAAGTGGAAGTAATTTCTATTTCTTAATTTGGAAAGACAGATAAGGGTTAAAGGGTCAGGAGAGTGTTTTTTTGGTAAGGTTTGATTTGGTGCCAGTGATTTGAGACTACAGATGTTACTCTGTTTGGCTGCAGGTTCTTATACTTCTGAGCCATGGTACAGATCTTTGAAGAGTAACCTCAATTGATTTAGGTCTTTTCAACATGGCTTCATAGGTAACACAGTCAGGAACATTATCAGATTTAATAACAAATGTGTTGACACCAGAGAAACAAAGCGGTAGAAACTTGGCTCCTCTGGTCTATGTGTGCTTGTGGAAGAGGACTTCCGGTGCATTCTGAGCGAGGTGGTGGAATAAGTTGGGAGAAATACTTGTCTCTCTCCATCCCTTACACCTTTTATCCCAAGGAAACAGAGTGCCAGACAGAGCAGACTGTCCAGTGGGCCATGTTTCACCACTAGGTGGGTTATTAGGTCTAAAAGGAAGAACCAGGCTGGTTGCTTACTCTTGAACTCAGGCATCTGGACTTAACTGTCTTGTCCACTCTTATACTTTTGTTTCCTTTATTCAGGAGAATGATACTTTTGCATTTTCTCCTTCTTCCAAGAGGCAAACACATTTGTTTAAGGTCCAGGGCCTGCCTTAGGCACTCCTTATCCATGCAGAATATAAGCAGACTTGTATTTAATTTTCCCTCTTTTTCTCTTGCCCCCAAACACACCTCCTATTTCTGGCTTAAGCACATGTGAAAATGTAGGTCCCAGAGTCTCGATTGTGAATGATAAAGGATCTCAGCAGGGACTCAAGCCTAAACTTACCAAGGTTAATAAAAGTGGTCCTTATTCACCATTTTGCTAGAGAGCCTTGCCTATATAAATTCACTGGACAGAGCCAAAAATGGGAAGGTATTTATACTTAAATGTTTTAATTCAAATATCTAAATCTCTCTAAAAGACCTCCAAAATTTAAATTAAAAGATCATTGGATAGATTTTATTATTACTTAGTTCCATTTCTGAGTTAAACTCATTTTCTTTACTTTTTGGTGAAAACCATGTAAAGAAAATGTTGATGTTCACATGCAAAAGTGATAAAACTGACCTCATTCTTTGAGGTACAAATAATTCAAGCTGTTTTTCTAATGTACGTTAGATTAGCTAGTCAGTCTTGTGCCAATATCATCCTGAATATATGGAACGGTATTGATTCTCAAACTTGCATGTACAGTCAGCCCTCCATATCTGCAGGTTTCAAACTTGCACATGCAACGAAACATGGATAAAAAATATTCAGAAAAAACAATCCTAGAAAATTCTAAAATGCAAAACTTGAATTTGCCACACACTGCACCGAGTACTACGCTGAACCCACACAAATGAAGTGATGTGGAGGCACATCACACTGTAGGCTACATGTAAATACAGGTGATATGCAAAACTATGCCATTACATAAAAGGGCCTTGAGCATCTGCAGGTTTTGATATAATTGGTGTGTGTGTGTGTGTGTGTGTGTGTGTGTGTGTGTGTATGTATCCTGGACTAATTCCCTGAGGATACTGAGGGAGAACTGTATATGCAAATCATCTTGGGTGCTTACTGAATTAACTGAATCCCAAGCTTAATCCCCAAAGATTATGACAAAGTTCACTTGTCACCCTTCATCATCTTAAATATTCAGAAAAATTATTTTGTAAAAAAGCAGATAAAATATTGATTTGAAACAATTTAGTTTTACTTACTTGAAGTGAATCAGTTTTGAGTTTTCCTTTGTGTTCCTCAGATGAACGCAACACCTCTCTGTACAGTTCTGCTGCCAATTCATACTCACCTGAAGCATTAAAACGTATTTAAAGCGTAAGAAAGTTATATTTAGCTCCCAATATGATAACTATATTTAAAAATGTCTGTAAAAACATAACTTAGTCATTAAAACTCACTATTTTTTTAAAAGGAATTTGAGTGGGTGTTAGCCATGATTGCCCCAGTAAAAAATATGATGGGTCTTTGCAACATGGCATCATAAGTAATACATTCATTTTTGTGTGTTAATTCCACAGAATAGAAAACCAGTCAAATGTACTTATAATGTTTTAAAACTATACTGAAAAAACAAACTGGATTAACTGCTAATTTAAACAAATGATTTTCCTCTCACTAAAGTTAGAGAATACTATTTAGTAGTAGTCATTATGATGTTCAAAATTAGGACAACTTTGGGGTCATTATAGGTATTTAAAAACAAATAATCAAAATGCTATGACCAACACATATTTCTCAGAAAAATAATATACTCTTCTGGATAAGTATTGTTCTTCTTGGTGGCCAAAATAATTTGCAATTAAAAGCTACATTTCAAAATCTTAAGAGATTCTTCTTTCCATTTCTGTCTACACAAATCACCATCACTCTGAGATCTATACTGTTTTATATTGTTCATTAGCAGCTCATTCAAATCAAATGATTTTAAAAGTATTAAAGGTACAGGTTGGCAAACTATGGCCCATGGGTCATACCTGACCTGTATTTTTTTAGGAACCATGAGCTAAGAATGGTTTTACATTTTCAAATAGTTATTTCTCATCTATGTTTTTATCTCTTCTATCTCTCTCTGCTCCCCTCTCTTTAAAAATCAATTAAAAACATATTTTTTAAAAAAATTATGTGAAATTAAATTTCAGAGCTCAAGAATAAAGTTTTATTGAATCTCAGTTATGCTCATTTGTTCACAGCTGCTTTTGCACTATAACACAAGAGCTGAGCAATTGCAACAGCTCGTTGGTTTACAAAGCCTAAACTATTCATTTTCTGGTTCTTTCAGAAAAAGTTGGATAACACCTCAATGAAAGAGAGATGAAACATTTTTAATGGCATTAATAATGAAACCTATCTCATTTGCTGCCTAGGGAAAAACTTTAAACTGATAATTTATAAATATAATTAAAATAAAAATCTAAAAGTGGCAAAATCATGAAATACAAAAAAAATGGCATAGAGATGTTCTAGTTTTAGGTTATTGAGGGGGGAAAAAGCTTTTACTTCATGATCATCACATATACTTGCTTTTTAAAACTTCAATTAAGTTTTATTTACATCATAAATTTGTTCAGTGCTTGAGTTTACTCTCTCTTTTATTCTCTCTCTCAAATTTGTACATTTTATTGTTGGTACTTTTCCTTTTTTGTTAATGCTAATTATATATAACTATAAATATATATTTTTATTATAGACTATTTATAACATAAAATTTTGGAGTTTTCATAACATAAAGTTTTGGACTACTATTCATAACATAAAATTTATATGGAGTTCTACCAGTTACCTGAATTTTCTAAAGATACATTTTTATACTACTTTACAGTCAGCCCATTTTTATTCATTTTGGTAACAAATATTATTTTCACAATAATGAAATCACGTTGTAATGTAGGAGCAATACTCATTACAGTAACTCAAGGAGACCTTTTTTTGGTTTTGAAGACTTGTGAAGCTTGCAAAAGACATATATAATAGATTCTATTAGCATTTACACTATCATTTGTAGAGAATTATTCACTAGTTAAGTCTCCTTTCATAATTACTATAGCTTTTAAAGGAGGTGTGATGACTAACTTATAATGTAAACAGTTGAATTTGAACTATTCACTCTATTTTTTGTGTGTGTGTGTTTTTTTTTAAATCCTCCCTAGAGCCAAAACCAGTTTGGCTCAGTGGATAGAGCGTTGGCCTGTGGACTGAAAGATCCCAGGTTCGATTCCTGTCAAGGGCATGTACTTTGGTTGCGGACACATCCCCAGTAGGGGGTGTGTAAGAAGCAGCTGATTGATGATTCTCTCTCATCGATGTTTCTAACTCCCTATCCCTCTCTCTTCTTCTCTGTAAAAAAGCAATAAAAATATATTTTAAAAACAAATCCTCCCTAGAGGACATTTTATTCCCCATTGATTTTTCAGAGAGTGAAAGGGAGGGAAGAAGAGGTGGAGGAGGAGAGAGAGAAACATCGATGTGACAGACAGAGTAATTGCTTGCCTCCCACACACACCTGCCCAGGGCTGGGGATCGAAGCTGAAACCTATATATTTATCCATGATTGAGAATCAAACCTGAGACCCTTTGGTCCATTCTAACCCCTGAGCATAACCAACCAGGGCTATAATATCTATTTTTTATGCTTATTAAAAAAAGATGCTTTCTCAGGAAGACACAAAAATACTGTATGCATATTCAATAAGTTACACAATTTTAAGTCAAATTTGGAAATACCCACTCCTTGCCACTTGATGGCAGTAACATTTCCAAGTAAATAAAGTTTACTGCAGTTGATATTGGCAACCTAATTTCCTCCAAAATAATATGTGCAGAAAACACATGGTACAAAAATTAGAATACCATGTTTTTAATATCATAATCAGTGAGGACTTAGAATATGTATTGCATATCATAATCCCTGTGCAGTTTAAAATAAATTTTATATCTCCATTGTCTGGTCTCTATATTGGAAGATTTTAAATTAAGTTGAATATATAATATTACTTTAAATAATGTGTATTGTTTAGTTAAGCAATGGAAGTTAAAAGTAAATCCACCCCATTAAGTTTATAATTACAATTAAGATTGGACGTATCCTTTACTAAAGGACTTTCTGATAGGAATATCTCTTAACAATCAGCAATACTTCCAATCCACAATCTATGGGAGACCAGGAACTACCGTGGGAATGCAGTGGAAACTATCTGAAGAGAGCAGTGATGTACTCCTCTTATGCCATGGCATGGTTCTTGCCTCACAGGAACCAACTATATTCTCATCCTGCCAGAGGGTTAGTTTTTGGAAATAATCAGATGAAAACATCTTTTCCCAATGTCCATATTATGTATAAACTCACAGTAAGGAAAGGAAGACAATAAATCTGAAAAAGTGACTAAAATATTGGTTAAGGAAAGAAATTCACTATCTCAAGTTCTATTACAACAACCCTCCTATCTAATAAGAGTAATATGCAAATTGACCATCACTCCAACACACATGATGGCTGCAAAACTATATAAAGACTACAATACTATATACCGTATTTTTCGGACCATAAGACGCACTTTTTTTCCCCCAGAAGTGGGGGGAAAAAGTCCCTGCGTCTTATGGTCCAAATATAGCCTACACATATACTTTAAAAAAAAAAGTTTTTTTACTTGCCCAGCTCTGTGTGGTCTCTGTGTGCTTGCCCAGCTCTAAAATGGTTCTAAATGCTGCTGTTTACTTTACAGGGTTGATTAAATGTGTTTATGACTGTGATGTTGGGTTTTAATGCACATAAAATATTTTAGGACACTATTTGTTTCAGAATCTTTTTTCTTCATTTCCCTTCTCTAAAAACTGGTGAGTCTTATGGTCCGGAGCATCTTATGGTCCGAAAAATACGGTAATCTCTTGTATTACAAATGAATAGATTGAAGTAGTTATTAAAAAGAACACTCAATGATTCAAGGTGCAAAAAGATAACACTTGAGTTCTGACAGACAGAAAAGTTCTCATGAAGAAGAGTGAGAGATAACAAAGCAATCACCTTCTACCTTTAATGATGTGGATGCCTGCTAAGCCATTGAGAGCACAAACTAACTGCCGGTGTGCTTCTTCACACTCAGTGCCACATTTCTTCTGCAGTGATGTCAGAAGCTCTTCCATGGTCATGGTGCTAAAAGAAGAGTCAGACTGCTTAGAACTTGAAAGAAAATCCTAGGCGAGAGTATTATATCGCATAAGATCATCAGACGCTTAGAGTCTTTGTGGGATCTTGAGCATCTTTCTCTTCACCTCCACTTTTATCGCTATCACTTTTAATTACAATTGTGCCCACTTATCCATGGGGATACATTCAAAGACCCACAGAAGATACCTGAAACTAGAGATAGCACCAACCCTATAAACTAAAAAAAATTTTTAAATGCCTTTTATATCTGGAGTGAAGCAAATAAACAATAAAACTCCACAAGAGTCCTAATTTGAAAAGAGATGTTAAAAATCATAAAAATAACTTGAAGATGTGGTTCTCTTCCACAAATAATGTTTCATATTGAAGAAAATGACCATCCTGCTAAAATAATTGACAACTCAGTGATAAGGACGTGAAGCTGTGGGTTAGAAAGCTAATTGCTTAAATATTGTGTATTATTACTATACTAGAGGTCCCTTGGCATGGCCTGCGGGGATCAGCCAAAACCAGCAGTCTAACGCGCCTGCTGCTCCTGCTCATCCTGGCCCCACTGTGCCTGTCACAGGCTCACGCCCAATCAGTCTCAATCGGAAGAGGTTCACGCTGCTGCAGTGGTGCTTGCCAGCCAGGTGTCTGGTGCTGTTGGTCAGCTGAGCGGCACTCCCACTGTGGGAGCACACTGATCACCAGGAGGCAGCTCAAGCATTGAGCGTTTGCCCGCTGGTGGTCAATGCATGTCATAGTGACCAGTGGACCAGTCATTCGATCTTTAAGTTGCTTAGGCTATATATATAGACTATACAGACTAGAGGAGCAGTGCATGGATTCGTGCACCGGTGGGATTCCTCGGCCTGCACCCTCTCGCAATCCAGGACCCCTTGGTGGATGTTGGAGAGCCAGTTTTGGCCCGATCCCCACAAGCCAGGCAGAGGGACCCCACTGGTGCATAAATATGTGCACCAGACTTCTAGCATGCATATAAGATCTTTAATTATTCTCTCCCTGTTCTCCCATCCCCATTCCCTCTGAGATTCATCAGGCTGTTCCATGTTTCCATGACTGTGCATTGAGTGTCTGCCCCCCTGGTGGTCAATGCACATCATAGCTACTGGTCGAATGGTCACTTAGGTTTTCATATATATAAATTCTTAGTTGTAGTGGAAGGAAATTGATAATCAAACCTCTTTTGGAGTGGCAGGAACTCTCCACGAACGGCCTGTGGGTGGCAGCAGGCCTGCCGGAGCCTCAGCAGTGGGTACAAGATGGAGGTAACAGTCCTTCGGTCCAGACTGCTGAGCTTCAGAGCCCAGTCAGAAATCTTCCTGAGTTTGACTACAGCATCCTGGCAGCACACCTCATGCTGACGGTGATAGAAATGTCTTTCTACTGGAGAGAAGTGGAGCCAGTGGGTTTCTTCTGTCTGAGGAGGTATCTGAATCTGTAGAGAGAAAGAGAGAGAGAGGAAAGAGAAAATTTCACCTGGAAATTTAACTGTCCATTCCATCTCTTTTTTTCCCCTTTTAATACCCTTAATTAATAAAAACTTATTGTACTGACTTGGTCAATCACATCTTTCTTTGCAGACCTCCACAGAATCTTGGCAATAAAGCTGTAGAGGGGCTGAGGATTCTTCCTGCAGTAAGGGCGGTAGAGAAGTCGAACCCACCAATGCTTGACACAGAAAGGTTCAACACCAAGAAAGACCACTAGCCCAAAAAGATCTGAAAAGACAAAAAGAACAGAGCACATTGAGAAAAATTGCTTCTGTATTTCTTCATTGCAGTTGTTAAAAACTGCCCAAATTGTGGGTGTCACAACTGCAGTATATTACCAGTGGGTAGAAGCTAAATATCCTTAAATGCAGAGGACAGCTGCCAATGAAAAAAAATTATCTGGCTCAAAATGTCAATGAAGCAAAGGATGAAAAATACTGGTCTAATATATAAAAAAAAACACACACAAAACAAAACAAAAACAACACAAACAAAACAAATGAGACTTCCAAGTTCAAATACAACATAATAAGTCATGGCAGGTTAACACTCCCACTGTAAAACTACAAAAAGAATAGACAACACAAGAATGAGTGTTAAATACATCAGAGAGGAAGCAAATAGGAAAAAAACCCAAAATCCCAGAAAGTTTTGGAAAGCTTTTTTAGATAAGTTGGGCAGGAAGAAACTTTTGGGTGTGATTATCTTGATTGTGAAAATAAATTCATGGGAATATATGTATATTTAAAATTTCCAAATTTTGCATGTTAAATATTTACAGCTTTATTATATGTCATTTACTACTTAATGAAGCTGTTTATAAAATATTACTCAAGAATTTGCTGAATGGTGACAAACACTCAAAACATCTGGCAACATCTCCCATATCCAAAGTAAAATACCCAGAAACATATTCTTTTAACACTAAAATCAGAAAAAAGTTAACTCTGAGTCTTTTTCTTTTTTCAGTACCTCTCAGCTAACTTTTGAGCTGAATGAGATCTTAGTAACACCTAAATAGCTACAATTTGGGCAGTTTCCAATGTAAGCGCAGACCACTAAATCTGGTCTTTTAGTTATCCTGATATTATCCTATAAATATGTACTTTAATGTAACTTACTAAAATTATACAAATATTTAAGCATGTATTTATAAAATCCCCCTAGACAATGTTTTTCTTCCTAAAAGCAATTATCAGAAAGCAGACTGTTTTTATGTCACAATAATGGATGTTGATATTTTTATTTTAACAGAGTGACAAGTTATCTTGATGAAAACAATATACAGTAACTTGAATTTTCAGAAAGATATATTTTGAGGATGAATATTTGCCACAGGATGCCAAGAATATTTATATTTTACAATTTAACTACATTTTAATGACAGCTTTTTAGGGAATTCTATGTAAAACAACTTTAAACTTTTAGTTTTAAATATTCACAACTTGAATAAAAGTTTTAAAAATGCAATGTTTGATCTTTGGAAAAACTAAGTTATATAAATGAGTATGTAGTAGAATCATTAGTTATACTGTGTGTGTGGTGGTGGCGGGTGTTGGGGGTAGAGGGAGGGAGAACCATACACAAATTAAATGTTCAAGAAGGGGAATGGTTGAAGGGATAATGGCATAATCACATGGTATATTATATAGCTATTAATATTTTTTTACTTTTACAATTAGTAAAATTATAGTCCCACTATGTGAATTCAGGCAATAAAAATTATGGTCCTATTTTTATAGATACAGCCAATTAAAATGAATTATTTCTCTCTCCCTCTGTCAGGTTCGTTCTGTTTTCTACCTACTACTTTGGAACTCTGAGTTCAATTTGGACCTATATTTCCACTGTGTAGGCATGCACAATGACTGTTCAACTTAGGACAATGGGACTACTCACTATTTATCTGTCCTCATGTCTACAATAAAAAATCACCCAATTCCATTTAAAAAGATAAATGCTTGAAACTAAAGGAGTCAAATATAAATACATATATAATTATGTAAGTAAGGATTTCAGCAAAGGTTAAATATAACAATACTTTCTCTTCAAAAATTAAACTTTTCAAATATATGCAGTATGTGAGAAAACCATATATTACCCTCCAGTCCTCTCTGTACTGGAGTGCCACTGATGCACCAGCGATTAATCCCACTCAAGCGCTGAGCCATTTCTGCAGCCTGATGAGAGAGAAATATGGAATAAAAAAGAAAAGAAAAAATAACCACAGGGAAAATGCAGAAGTCAGGAATGTTTATCCATGGAAATCTACGCTTTGGGTCAGAGGCACTTGCTTCTACTTAGGAAACCATACTCCATGTTGACTGTCCTATTCAAAGGGCCAACTTACAATATAGTGGTTCTCATTAGCAGGATGCCACGTGTCCCGTCCCAGCCCCCACAAAAGGAAGGGTAGTTCAATTATATGTAGTGAAAAGGCTCTCTGAATGACTGATACATCCTCACCCCATCCTTCAGTGAATCACTGTACTAAGAGATGTGATTCAAAAATTCAGGACAGGTTACAGGTTGGCCAAAGACAGCATAAAGACATGTGACAAAGGATGAATCAAAATTCTATCTTCTAAAGTAGCATTTCCATTACTAGCTTGTCTCTCTGATAAAAAAACTACAAAAGTCAACTTTGGTGCAAAGCTATCAGAGTCTATATGATGAGCTTTCCACTTAGCAGAAATGGTTACAAAAATCCCTAAATACATTTTACTTTTATCTTCATCACACTTAAACTACCATCTTATTCAAATATACATGGGCACTACACACAGAGCAATGATTCAGAGTACTGAAAAATTCTTAAGGGTTATGCAGTTTATAGCATAAGAGAAAAAAGCAAATTGTAAGAATATTTAACAGAAATTTCTGGCTAATATCAACACTGGTTAATTTTAAATTTTCTAAGGACAGCTTCTCCCAACCCCTTCCCCCATCCCCATCTCTTCCTCAGTTCTCAAAAATTCTGGAGAAACTCTCACTTTTACAGCGGGACATTCAACCATCTGAGCTTCATCAAGGCAGATCCTCCACCATTCCACAGCGACCAGGGGGCTTGGAATGGCCATATAGCGCTTCTGGTTCCGTAAGCGACGCCCATCCTCACTATTGCTGTGTGGGATATCTACATAATTTAGCTCTGAACGAAGGACATCATAGGTAATGATAACTATATCCTGTTCTGCCAAAAAATGAGGCTGTAAGAAGCCATCTTTCTTCACTCCTTGATATACCTAGGAAATAACCAGCACAGAGAGTTAATTGCAGAAAAGCTCTTCAAAGATCATTGAAATAATAATTTACGTATCCCTTACAGAGCCCGTTCTCCATGTTTAGCACCGAACATGCTTTGAGATACATTCCATATCTGTAGAGAGAAAGACACATTTTAGTTTGGAAGACTAATAATAGGAGCAATGTGAAAGGAACTGTAACGGAAGTAAACGTTATACCATCACAGTGGAAGGACCAACTCCATGGTTGAAAAGGTCAATTCAGAGAGGAGTTAAAATTTTAGGTGGATCTTGAAGGAAATTTAGGAGTTCTCAAGGGAAAGAAAAGGAGAAAAGAACATGACATATAGGTAGGTAGGCAGATAGGATTAACAACATTTGGAAAAAAGCACAATGATATAGGAAACTATAAAAGTAAGGATTATTTACTGAGTGCTTTTTATATTACAGACACTGCGCTAAGCTTTATCTACCTTCAACAACAATCCTGTTAGAGGCTGTTATCATTCCTATCTCACATGTAAGAAACATGAAGTAACTTGCTCAAAACTGGTAGAGCCAAGCCCTAGGTAGGTTGCTTAGTGGTTAGAGCATTGGGCTTCTTTAGACTGAAGGGTCTTGGGTTCATCCGGTCAAGGGCACAAACCTCGGTTGCAAGCTCAATGCCCATTCTAGTTGGAGCACATGTGGAAGGAAATCAATCAATGTGTCTCTCTCACACTGATGTTTCTCTCTGTCTCTCCCACTCTGTTCCACTCTGTCTAAAAATCAAACCTCAGAGGGAAGGCACGGGGGAGAGATCAACTGAAGGACTTGTATGCATGCATATAAGCATAACGAAAGGACACAGACACTAGGGGGATGAGGGCATGAGCGGGATTTGGGGGCTATGGGGGAATAAGGACACAATAAAAAGTATATATAAAAAAAATTAATGGAAAAAATATCCTCTGGTGAGGATTAACAAAAAAATGAACAAAAACATAAACTGGGAGAGCCAAGATTCAAACTAAGGTCTGTTTACCCCACAGAACAGAGCTGTTCAATTCCTAAGGTGGCATTTTGCTTATTACTGTATTCTCTCTCCATGCCTATGAAAGTGGCTGAAATATAGAAAACATACAATAACATTTGAATTGAAAGAAGAACTGAGTGAAAAAGAACATTAACACTAGTAAACAATAACAATGAATGTCCACACACTACATGCCAGCATTTTATCAAATAATCTTCCCAGTAAGTCTGTGAGGAGATACTATTTCCAGAACTTAGCATAAAATAGGTGCTTGATAAATATTTGATAAATGAGTAAATTCCTACTTTACAATAAGGTAACTGAGGCTTCAGAGCATGATTCTGGAGCTAAGAAGTAGCTACTATCATGCAATGCTGTTTTTGAATTGCATTCTTCTCTGAGTATAAATGCTTATACAAAGACTTTTTCATTTACATGATAATTTGTTCAAAAGCTTTCATATCTTTCTACTCAAATTCTTTAACTTCTTAACTTTGAATGTGAGAAAAAATAGTCTACTATTCTATTTAATGATCTCAATTTCCTCTTCAAATTCTGATTTAATATTCTCATGTTATTTTTTGGATAAACAACAAAGTGACAAAGATTATAAAAACTATCATAAAGAAGCAAAATTTTATACTTTTCTGTCCCTTTAAGGTGCCCAAATTGCCTTACCAAGACTCGCAGAGATGATGACCTCACATGCCTATTGATTTCATCCACCCACTGATGACATATGGAACTGGGTGAGATGATAAGAGTTGCTCTAGTTGATACTGGCTCCATTGCAACAAGGCAGTGGGGGCAATAGAAAGGCTTAATCTTCAGATTCTTCTCTTCATAATTCACACATTTTGCATGTTGCCACAGATGGCATTTCAGGCACTGAACACGAGGCTTACGGTCAATATGGTCAAGTTCACCACATATGCACTCAAAGCGATAATCAGACGAATTATAGGGACTCATAATATTAGAGTGTGGCACATCACCACCAGCAGGGTTTAGAGATTCATCTTGGGTCTCTGCTGCATGTTCTTGCTGGACTTCAAAGACACAGGAACTTGTGGATGTGGTAACATCAGTGATTCCAGAGTCACTGGTCGCTGGATCATGATTTTGTGAACTGAGATAGATGTCAGGTTGACTTTGTTCCTTTTTTGTGGCTGGAACAGACTTTTTCCTCATTTTACTACGATTTCTCCTGGGCTTATAGTAATAATAGTAAGGATTATCATCATCATCAGAGGTGTTTGATGGCAAGTACTCAGAATCTGTGTCCTTGCTCAATGACTTTCTGGATTCTTTCTGAATTTTCCTCGGACTCCATACTGCCTATGAAAAACATTAATTTATTTCAATAAGCTACATTTCTGAAATTAGATTGCCAACTATGTTGATGGGCTTTATATAAAAATCCTGCTACTCTTTCCTGAGGAGAATCACTCATGGTCAGTGACTTTTAATTTGCCCTTTCTAAGAAGCCTCCCCATAGTCTGCAGGAATAAAAGAAAAGGTGTACTGTATACACACATTTTGCATGTTGCCATGTGTATACTGTATAAGTAAGATATAGAGAAAATAAAAATTAGATAAAGGGAGCTCTTCACACTTCGGTATTAACCTCTTGTAATTTATAGGATGCCTAAATCAATAAAAGACTAGAAGTTTATAATGCATAAATATATAAATGAGGGCAATTATAAAAATTCCAGGTACTAAAATACAGCATTTAAAGAAAGTGAAAAGTTAACTTACTAATTACTGCAGTTAGCAAACAATGCCCTTCTTTCTTTCTCCTTTCTATTTGTGTTCCCTCCTGTAATTATTTATTGAATGTCAATTTTGTTTGATGTTGGGGGATATAATTTGAGAAATATTTAGCCGCTGCTTTCAAAGGGTATGTTGGAAAGAGAGAACAGTAAACAATAAGATGATGATGGTATAGGAATGTGTAAGAGGGCAGTACTGAGAGGGGTTGTGATGAGAAGGCAGGCGCCAGCAACAGAGCCAATGTTGTACAGAGGAGTTGGGGCACTTAATACGGAATGAATGGTATCCATTGAAGGAGATGTTCTTGTTCTCCTTGTTCCAAGTGACAAATTAGTAAAAGCCAGAAGAATTAGTAAAAGCCAGGAGTTCATTGTAGCCTTCTACCCTGGCTGGAGATAAACTATTGGAGACTCCCTACTAGAGGAAATGAACTTATTATCTGCGTTTTTCACAGTAGCCAAGCTGGAAGTTCCACACTTGGACTTGCTGTCATTAGTCTTTCCTTGATTTATGTTTACAAATTCCTAACTATTTTCTTAAAAACAAATTGAAATTAATAGCCCCAAAGAAGAAGTTTTATAACAAAATGCAAACATTTTGTAAGATGATAGTCATTCAAAAAGAAAGACTTTATATAAAAGATTCAAAATGTATATAAAGAGCTTGCAAATATAAAGTATCGTTAACATTTTTAATATATGGAACAAACTTTTAAACTGCTGACAACAGAATAAAAATGGAGAAGTTAAATTTTACTATAGGCTTAACGAACTAATTGTATAATTCATGCAATAAATATTTGAGTACTTGCTTCTAGGCCAAGCAATGTTTAATGGTAACCAAAATAAAGTTTCTACTCCGATGGAACTTATATTTAGGAAGTAGAAAATGTAAGTCATAGCCATAAGTGATGTTCCTAACCAGTCTGTTATTTATATTCAGATGGTAAAAGCTTCAGTGTCAAGGTGGGATCCATCAGCTCATTCTGTAAGGCATCATATATAGCTACTTAATAAGTGCTCTGTTACCTGCTTTTTGTTTTTATCATATATATCCTCTTCCTTGTAATTCTTTCCCAGTGTAAAAGTCCCAGAAAAACCGTGGCCTTTGATCTGTTTCACAAGACCTTCGAAAATTAAACATTTCAGCATCCGTTTCAGGAGACTCTTGTTACGATGAACATCATATCTATATATAGAACTGACATACTTATAGATGGAAAGGATGGAAACTCCCTTTTTTCCATTCATTTCTTTCACAGCTGTCAGGATCATCACACGTGTAGCTAAATGTAAAAGGATACGTTAACTCAGTCAAAATAATTAAAATTAAAAGAAAATAAAAGTTCATTTTAATGTGCATTGAGGATCAAGTTATAAATAAAAAATAAAGCAAAGATTTATTGAAGGTATAGTGTCTCTATATTGTCATTTTGAAGACTATGTAATAAAAATTTACCTCAACACATTAATAATTACTGTAATGGAAATAATTTAAGAAAGAATTATTCATGAATTTATTATTCTTACAAAGCAAGTATCATTTAAAATTATTTTAAAGACCCTCTCACAATTATCTATATATATGCTATTATGAGTAAGGGAAACATTCATTTGTTAGCAGAAATTGAGGCAGCTATGCTAGAGAATAAACAAAGCCTGGTTTAAACTGTAAGCTAAAATAAATTTAAATATAATATTGAGAAAGAACTACCTGGACCAAGTTAAAAAGAGTTTATTTTGTTAAGATACTTTGACTTATAATTAAGCCTATTTATTCATAGTATAAACAACTATAAACACAATTATTTATAACAATGACAAGATATCTCTATATGAGGATTATAAGAGCTACAACAAAAAACTGTAAAAAGATATTTTCTTTGAGAGACTTCATACTTACGGGGGCAATGAACTTTTTCTTTGGGTTCAATTTCCATAATCTGAGTTTTTCCATTTTCTGTGTTTTTTACTTGTACTCCAGAATGTGATGGAATGAAATAATTGACCACTTTTCCCTGATATAAACAACATTCAGTAGTCACATAGGGTTTTGCTTTCAGTATTTTTAGTTGCTTATTAAAATTAACCTTCCTTCTATTAAGGAAATGCAAAAGAGTTGTAAAAAGTGATAAAAAGGCTAAATAACTATTCATACTTACAAATCTTATTTTTTTGTTTCAGGGCTTATAGCTAGCTATCACTTTTACAAACTGTACAAATTATATATTATCTTAAATTATCTAAATGTTAAGTGTGCGACTTCTGCAATTAACTTTTTTTTATTATATTTTTATTGATTTCAAAGATGAAGGGAGAGGGAAAGAGAGAGAGAGAAACATCAATGATGAGAGAGAATCATTGATTGGTTGCCTCCTGCAGGCCCCCTACCAGGGACCAAGTCCACAACCCAGACATATGCCCTCAACATATGCTCTCAACCAGACATATGCCCTCAACCAGAATTGAACCCAGAACCCTTCAGTCCACAGGCCGACACTCTATCCACTGAGCCAAAATAGCTAGGGCTGCAATGAACTTTTTAAGGCTTGTTTAAACACAGAATTAACCCTATTAATTTATAACAATACTAAAAATAATTTAGAATTACAATATCTAATGAGAAGAAAATGCCAAAAAGAAATTAAGGATACTTAGAACTGCATACTCCAATTTATTTTTCTACAACAGAAATAGATATTTTTCTACTGCCTCCTCAAATATGAAAGCCTAACATTGCAAACCTGACCCTATTAAAAGATCATATTGTCATTAAGTTTGTCAGCATGGTGGTGGGTCTTACAGCTAATTACAGTTATATCCTTAATTAGTGGGTTAATTTCAGCAAATTTAATTTTAGATTTCATTATGGAAAAATATAAACTCTATTTCCTCAGTGGAATAGTTTTAAAACTCTAAAATTTACATTTTGATATACAATTATATATTTTGGAACAAAGACTTCCAGTTTATTTCATCTAGCACTCTAATTAATAAACTTTAACAAAGTTTTAATTATCACGTGTTTTATTTACATACCTGATATTTGTGCAATATTAAAAAACAGTTCTCAAAAATATTTAGAGACTTGTAATAGTGACAAAACATTTGAGGAAGTAATGTATTTTCCTCAGGGTGTTTCTCTGCCAATTAAAAGGAAGTGTGGTGCAAGAATATCCCCGCCTCCTCCTGCCCCCACCTTTGGCCAACATCACTTAAGACAACCCTGCCAGAGCACAAACATCCCATTCACTGTGCCCACTTGAAGGTAACTAATAGCTAATATAAGACATCAGCTGCAGCAAAAATCGCAAAGGTTGACTTAAGAGCCAAGCAAATGTTCGACCTATGATGATTTATGATAACATTATGCCCCCTGGTTTCCAAGCCCTATAGTACTCCTACCTCAGGAAGAGTCAGAGCATCTTGTTTGACATCCTGTCGAATGTGTGTCAGAATCAGAGCCAAAACCTCCACTGTCTTACCGAGACCCATCTCATCTGCTAAGATTCCACCAAACAACTGTGGCCCAGCACTTGGGTACTCACGGATGATGCTAACAGAAAAGAAACAAGAAAAATACATTATAGGAATAGAATTAAATTTATACTGTTTCTAAAGAGAACTAGAAGAAATGCTAAAGTCTAACTTTTAAAACTACATTGTAGGGTGAAATAATTCAAATCTTTACTTCTAGACTATAAGAACTGTGATAATTAAAAAAAAAAAAAACTGCCTGAGCTGACAGCTAAGATTGCAGAAACAATAGTGGTCTTGGTAAACAGTCATCATTTTTTCTCTTCTAAAACAAAAGGAAGCATGTGTGCCTTCTTTCTGAGACCTTTATGAATTTGGGAATAAAAAAATAAGAAGGGCATCAACTACTGACTCACTAATCATATTTAAGGACTCCTGTAATTTTTATAATAGACTGAAAAATTTAATGAAAAATATATAATAAATACTGACCTATAATAAGATATTATCTTAGAATTATAATCTCTTTAAATATCAATGACTAAGCATCTTAAATCTCTTATATAGCATTCATTTACTGAAAAGTGACAAGTGCTATTAATTCTATGTCTATCTCTCTCTATAAAAATGACTAATGAGACTTTAACTCAGTATTCCTTCTTGAGGTACTGCCAAGGCTCAAGATATATATTACCAAACTCATATAGGTTTCATAATATTTATATTCAATAAAGTTTTGCCATACCAGCCTGTATATGGGTTGTAGTAGAGTTTCAAACCCTCAGATGTAACAATCTCTCGCCATAAGAAGTGTAGAGCATTTTCTAAAGAAAAATATAACCATAAAAACCACTTTTATTTGTTTTCTTTTCTGCCAGATAATGATATTAAAAATAAGTTAACAAATAAATAGGATAACCTGGTAAGCCACATACACATAGGAAAAAGTTTAGGATTTCTTTTACTCTTTTCTTCAGATATTATTCTTTAGCTGTCTTTGCTTTGGGCACAACTACTTTTCATATAAGCAAGTGATAAGACAGAAAAATAAAGTATAACAAATAACAAAGGATTGACAGGGGGGAAAAAACAACCTAATACATATAATCAACTACTACCCACGAATGAATTTCCCTAACTTCAATTTTGAGACATTTCTTAGAAAATAATTTTGTTCATAGTAATACCCATTCTATCCTATCTTTTCAATATTATTTATTTAACATTAACTCCCCCTTCCCCCACCTCCACACCATCTCTCTTATAATCCCTCTTATCAATTTGCCTTTCTGGAAGCATCTTATACTTGCCACTAATGGGAGCACTTCTGAAATGCTCTTGTTGTAGCATCCAATTGACAGCCTCTCTTTGGTAAGGTCTCAAAACAGGAATCAATGCAGGATGCTGGACATCCACTTGAATGGACTGTGTTTCTTGCTGATGTGTTTGCTTCACAAAGTTATAGAGCTCATCAATGTCCTGTCCCTCTGACTCATTCTCTGAATCTTCCTCATCATCTTCCAACACATCTGTATATTCAATAACAAGGTGCGCAAAACAACCCCATTTTACCTTTTATAATTACAAGCAATTCTTATTTCAAAACATACCGTGCACTCTCTCTACTCTGAGGATTTAATTAGCGTGTTTTGTCACTGGAAGGACCTACTCTTAATTCTTCATGAATCAAAAATCTACCCATCCATCCTTCAAGATGGTTCAGCTGCTACTTTTACTATGGCATGTTTTTCTCTTCCATGATTAGAATGAAGTTCTCCTCTGTGTTCATGCAATACCCTTATACGCTGGATATAGCAATGCATTGCATTCTGTCTAGTAGTGCAACCATCTAAGAGTATTTGTCCCTTCTACACTGAACTGTAATGTTCTTTGAGGGCAAAGCCTGCCTTTTGTTTTTATAGCTCTTTAGAGCTGGCACATGCTTTGCCCATTGTAGATATTTAATAAACATTTGAGGAATTGAATGTAAATACCTTTTGCAGCTTATAAAAGGATAATTTATTTCACTTTTATATATTCATATAAAAATAGCCACATAAGATATAATGTCACTATGACTAATATGGCAAGAGTTCCCACTGTATATCTTATGTTAAAAAAAGGCATTTGATAAGCACCTGTAGCCAATTAGGAGGTAAGTATATAAGTCAATAATACAAATTTGTAAGAATAGCAGATTCATTTTTGGACACAACTGCGATGTGGAAAATTTGTGCTTGCTCTAACATGAAAAAAAAAATTGACTATAAGCTAAGCAGAGTAAAAAGCAAATAAGGACACAAATTATATTAGTAAAATTATAAAAGTATAATTTTGTCATATAGAGATTTTATGAAGTTTGTTTAATTTTTTATTATGGATTTATTAGCTGTGTTTTCTGGTTGTTATGTATAGGAGTGTGTGTGGGGGAGAAACATAACTCTTAAGTAACAGCAATTTTTAAGCTTACTTTAAAAATTACCTGGAATAGAGGAAAGCCAAGCTTGCGGCATAGGTAAACACCTGAAGTGCTGCCTTGCACAACAATTTCAAAACTACAACTAAAAGACAAAACAGACATCATCCAGAAGCACAGGAAGGCTGACTGAGTGGAAATTCTATAACTAGAAGGAAAGAGAAAAGCACACTGAGACTCAGAGGAGCTGCAGAAGTTAGAGGTACAGAGACATGCATGTGGAGAGGACTGGCTGATATGCGGTTAGCTTTCTCAAGTGGGAGGGAGACAAAAGCTCCTGACTGCGCTGAACTCCAGTTCCAGGAAAGACTCTGGGGACCCAGACTCATTCGGGGAGAAACTGGACTGTCTGGCAGCAGATGGAACTTGAGGGCAGCTTTCACTCAGAAGTGCTTACAGCAATTACTGTGTGACACTGAGACCTCTTAGGGATAGGGCTGATAAGAAGCCACAGCTGTCTGCTCCACCCTGAAACTCCGCCCCATCCAAGCTGAGCACAGAGGCTTTTGCAAGACTTGTCTCATAAGGGTGTCTCCAGCACAGTTCTCCCACCGTAGACACAGCTGATCCTCACAGCCAAATGGCCTGGAGGTCAATTCCTCCCAGTGTTACCAACAACAACCAAGGCTTAACTACAACAAGACTGTGCACACAGCCCACAAGGGGTGCACCAAGAGTGTCCACCTCAGGTAATTGGGGAGGCTGAGCCACTGGGCCCTATAGGACACCTAGCACACAAAGCCACTCTATCAATTCAGGGAAGCAGCCAAAATGCGGAGACAAAGAAACAGGTCACAAATGAAAGAAATGGAAGAAAGCAAATAACTGGATAGAGTTCAAAACCACGGTTATAAGGTTTTTCAAGAATTTTCTAGAAAAGGCCAATAAATTTAGTGAGATCCTCAAGGATATGAAAAAGGACTAACTAAAAATTAAGCATACACTGACTGAAATAAAAAATAATAAGCAGAGATTCAACAGCATACAAGAGGATTGCAAGAATCAAGTCAAATATTTGAAATATGAAGAAGCAAAAAATACTCAACCGAAAAAGCAAAAAGCAAAAAGAATCCAAAAATATGAAGATAGTGTAAGGAGCCTCTGGGACAACTTCAAATGTAACAACATCTGAATTATGGGGGTGCCAGAAGTAGAGAGAGAGCAAGATACTGAAAAACTATTTGAAGAAATAATGACAGAAAACTTCCCCACTTGGTGAAAGAAATAGACTTGCAAGTCCAGGAAGTGCACAGAACCCCAAACAAAAGGAATCCAAAGAGGACCACACCAACACACATCATAATTAAAATGCCAAGAGCAAAAGACAAAAAGAGAATATTAAAAGCAGCAAGAGCCGAAACCGGTTTGGCTCAATGGATAGAGCGTCGGCTTGGGGACTGAAGGGTCCCGGGTTCGATTCCGGTCAAGGGCATGTACCTTGGTTGCGGGCATATCCCCAGTAGGGGGTGTGCAAGAGGCAGCTGATCGATGACTCTCTCTCATCGATGTTTCTATTATAACTCTCTATCTCTCTCCCTTCCTCTCTGTACAAAATCAATAAAATATATTAAAAAAAAATAAATAAATATAAATAAAAAATGGAACTACCTTAAAAAAAAAAAGCAGCAAGAGAAAAACAGTTAATTACCTATAAGAGAACACCCATACAATGGGAGTGGCAAGAAATATTCAAAGTGATGAATAGCAAGAACCTACAACCAAGATTACTCCATCCAGCAAAGCTATCATTCAGAATTAAAGGTCAGATAAAAAGCTTCAGAGACAAGAAAAAGTTAAAGGAGTTCATCACCACCAAACCAGTATTATATGAAATGCTGAAAGGTATTCTTTAAGAAGAGGAAGAAGAAGAAAAAGGTAAAGATAAAAATTGTGAACAATAAATTCATATCTATCAACAAGTGAATCTAAAAATCAAGTGAATAAAAAATCTGATGAACAGAATAAACTGGTGAATATAATAGAATCAGGGGCATAGAAAGGGAGTGGACTGACAATTTTGGGGGGGAAAAGGGTGTAGGAAGAGACTGAACCTATGGATGAGGACTGTGGGGAGGGTGAGGTGGGAACCGGATGGAGGGGAGGTATGGGGGAAAAAGAGGAACAATTGTAATAATTTGAACAATAAAGATTTATTAGAAACAAAAAAAATTACCTGGAATAATAAAATTGTATAATTTTTCCATCACTTTCTTCATAAGTTGATTGAACTTTTTCATTCTTGAATTTGCATCACTCAAAAAGTCTAGTTTTGCTAAGCCGTCTTCCAAAAGATAAATTCCAACCTACAAAGAATCAACATAGAAATATTTTAAATTGTACTATGCTACTCTTTATGAAGATGTTAAAAAATTTTTTTACTATCACCATTTTTATGGTATTTATCTCACAAACACCAAATCTCCCTCATCTATTTTCACTTTCAGTAACAAATTCATTCTACAAATGGAATGCCTACTATGTGTGGTGTATCCTTAAAGTTGCTAGGAAAAAATACTTCCCTAACTTGAACCAAACCTGGGAAGATGTGATGAGAACACCAACTCTGCCTAACAAGTCAATGATTTCCAACCTTGATGAGAAGCAGAGTAATCACTGAAGTTAACTAAGATGCAGATTCTCCCAGAAGATGCTGACACACATGCCAGGAGTTAGATTTGGGAGTCTCTGTTACCAACTCAAACATTTAAATGTCTAGGAAAACTGAACTCGATTATTTTTTAGATCTTGATTCTGGTGAAGCAATGCAGTAGGAAGCTTTACAGTCGAAAATACTTGAATTTGAATAATGGCACTGGCATTTAGGAGCTAAATAAGTACTGTAGCAAAATAATTTATTTGTTTTGACCTAAATGTTATTTGCAAAATGGAGAAGCCTATATGAGATGGCCTAGATCCATGGTCAACAAACTATGGCTCCCTAGCCACATGTGGCTCTTTGGTCCCTTGAGTGTGGCTCTTCCACAAAATAACATGGCCTGGGCGAGTATTTTGAAGAAGTGGTATTAGAATAAGTTTAAGTTTAAAAAATTTGGTTCTCAAAAGAAATTTCAATCATTGTACTGTCTATATTTGGCTCTGTTGACAAATGAGTTTGTCGACCACTGGCCTAGATGATATAATTTTAAAACTTCCTAATGGTAGATACTGATAAGTGCAGCTTCCTTCACTTCCCTCTATTAGCCTGGATCTGATTCCCCAATCACTGTGATTTTCATGTTCTTTCACTAAAGAACAAAAATCCAAACCAACATTATACAGGAATGGGTAGCCAAGATTATGTTTCATTAACATATTTATTCTGCTTGTGTTCACTTAGATTGCTTACAATAGCAGCAATAAATGCTTAAATAGTTATAAAAATCAAGGTCAGGGAAATAGATCAAAACTTGGATTGTGCCGAAACCGGTTTGGCTCAGTAGGTAGAGCGTCGGCCTGCGGACTGAGAGGTCCCGGGTTCGATTCTGGTCAAGGGCATGTACCTTGGTTGCAGGCACATCCCCAGTAGGGGGTGTGCAAGAGGCAGCTGGTTGATGTTTCTCTCTCACTGATGTTTCTAACTCTCCCTCTCTCCTTTCCTCTTTGTAAAAAAAAAAAAAAATCAATAAAATATATTTAAAAAAACAAAACAAAAACAACAACAACAACAACAACAACAACAACAACCTTGGACTGTAAGAGAGATGGACAGAATATCGATACAAATGCAAATCCATAAATTCTTACTTGTTATTACTGAACCACAATTTTGACACTCACAATCAACAAAGAGAGAGAATGCTTGGTTGCATAATTTCATTGTCTAGGGAATAATTATAGTTTAACACTTCTATATTTTCTCCTTTCCTACTGTCAATTCTGAAACTATAAACAGGGCTACAACGTTAACTGCTTTTTAATGTGAGAAATACATAAGACACAGTTTTCAACTGAACAATGATGAATTCAATACAATAGAACTTCTTTTCTTTTCAAGTTTTAGCATGAAGGCATGTTGACCTGCTTCAAAGTTTACAAAGTATATTTACTTACATTATCTTACCTGATCCTCAGTCCAACTGTATGAAATAAAAGAATGGGTATTAATGCTCGCTGGTGTGTGGTTGAGCATTGACTCATCAACCAAGGGGTCCCTAGTTTGATTCCCAGTCAAGATACAGGCCTGGGTTGAGGGCTGGATCCCCAAGTAGAAGACATGCACAAGGCAGCTGATTGATGTTTCTCTCACACATCAATGTTCTCTCTCTCTATCCCTCTCCCCTCTCTGAAAATTAATAAAAATCTATTTTTCTTTTAAAAGAATGGGTAATGTTTATATTTCACACAGAAAAAGGCTGCAATTGGAACATTTAAATGATTAACATAGTGACTTGGTTAGTGAGTAACAGAGCCTGAAATAAATGATAAATTTATTCATTTGTTTACTGAAAATCTCTTCAGTATCAGGCAGTTTACTAGGCTGCAAAGATAGAAGACTTTATTATCTAGTGAGGGAAAAAGGTCTAAAATATAAGTTATGCTGCAAGTGACAGAGGCAAAATTAAGCATAGGCATCAGGTATGATAGGGAAGGCACGTTAAAACCATCATGGAGTTTAAGAAAAGCTCTTCCTATATGAAGCAAACTCTGAGCTAAATATTAAAGAAAGACCAAGAATTACCAAAGAAGAGGAAGGGACAACCCAGGTAGAGGTGAACTGTTAAGGTAAAAGCAAAGATGTGGAAAGATGGCAGAAAATGTGCAGGAAACACATTTCCAGGACAAAATGAAAGGCAGAGTAATAAAAGATAAAGCTGGCCTAAACTGGTTTGGCTCAGTGGATAGAGCATCAGCCTGCAGACTGAAGGGTCACAGGTTTGATTCTGGTCAAGGGTATGTACCTTGGTTGCAGGCACATCTCCAGGAGGGGGTGTGCAAGAGGTGGCTGATCAATGTTTCTAACTTTCTACCCCTCTCTCTCTTCCTCTCTGTAAAAAATCAATAAAATATATTAAAAAAAAAAAAAAAGATAAAGCTGGAGTAAACAAGGGTCTATCAAACGAAGGACTTATATGCCAGATTATACTTAATTTAGTAGGCAGTAAAGAACAGAATCACACTTGCATTTCAAATTGTACTATTCCACAGGCAAAGTAGATCAAAGAGTTGAAAAGGTAAGCAGAGAAATGGTTAAAGGATTGCTATAGGAAGAGAAAGAAATAATGAGGACCAAAACAAGTCATTAAGAGTAGAGCTGCAAAGGAGAAATTGGGAAGATCTCCTTGAAAAAATTCAGCCTGAAAATAACCAGCCATAATATATATATGTATATATTATATCTACCTAATAAAAGAAAAACATGCTAATTGACTGTACCTTCATAATGTTCGCCAGCCAATCAGGAGTGTGTATGCAAATTAGCCCAACAAAGATGACAGGTTAATTTGAATACACAGGCTCCAAGTGGCTGCGGATGGGGTGGGACGCTTGTGACGATGACACAGGTGTTCTGTACTTTCCCACACACTCCGGGCCTCTGGGCAGTGTGAGAAGGTGGAAAGGCAGATCCGCCAGAGCGAAAGCGGTTCCGGCATCCAGGGGAAGAAAGGCCCATTCTTGCACTAATCTTAGTGCATCGGGTCTTTAATGTGTGTGTGTGTGTGTGTGTGTGTGTGTGTTATAGTTATTGTGAAAGCCTAAAATAAAGTGTAGTTTGAAACTTAATGAAAGGTTTATTGCTGGCTTAACAGACTTTCCTAGTAAGATAACTTTAAAAAGGAATGACCAATGCAGAAGAATCTTACTAAAAGACACCATAGAAATTGAGTACCTTAATAATGTGGTTCCCATCTGGTTTGTGGTAAAGTTTTATTCTTCTCTTCTTTTGTAGCCACTCCAAATCCTCTAACATTTCACCACTGAAGGATGATTCCACTCGGGTACCCTTGTCAGAAACAATGCTTGGCTTGTTGAGTCCTTTTTCTTGTCTCTCCACATCTATGCATTCTGAATGAACATAGATCAGGAACTGATTGCTTGACTCTGAACTCATCAGTGTAAAACTCCTTTCAGAAAAATTTCCAATTAAACTCTGTTCTGGAAGAAGCTGAAGAGTGAATTCTCCTAGAAGTGCTTTCCAAGAATTATCAAAGTGACAGGGAGAAATCACAATATTCAGCTTTACTGACAAAGGGGAAAAACTGTCACCAGTCTCTTCTTTATCGATTGATTCTGAAATGCATACTGACTCTGAACATCTCTTTTTATCTCTGTGAGGCACTTCTTCCTTTAGGCTATCATCTAGGATGATGCACTGAGCAGAGGAGGACTCTGAAGCTGGGTAGGGATGCTCATCATCAGTTAAGGTGACAGGTTCATTCCTTCTGTCCTCATGCATATTCCAACAAAGCTGCTGTTGCTTTTCTTCATCTACTTTCACTGGAGGAGCACGTTTCCGTCGGTTGCTCATTTTCACTTTTTTTAATTTTTTTTTTTTATGGGTAAATGTGAACTCTAGAAGACAAATGCAACAGTAGGCATTCTGAGAGAGAATTTCAGAGTTAAAGGGCTCCCAGATGAGAAATTCAGCACAAACTAGTAGTCTACATATACAACATGAAATCTTCAGAGAAATACAAAAAACTGGACAATTTTTTTAAGAAGTCAAAAACAGCTAAGGAACACGCTGCCCATAATCTCATGCAATATACAAATTCTGATGGTTTTACCAATTATTAATGGATAAATTCAATAATAATTTGTTGAATAAAATAAAATAAATTCTAAAAATACATTTAAAATATATCTCGCAAATATCCTGGAAATGCATATTTAAAGAACTTTAGTAACATGTACACTCATATCACTACAGAATTTCAAATTTGTTTTATAATCACAAAGGGTTAACAAAACCTCACTTGATCCTTACATAGCCTTAAAAATCCCCAAAATAGACCTTTCAAAAGAGCCTTCCCTTATATAAATTATATTTAAAAAAATAGAAATACATTTCCTTTTACAGGTTAGCAGATTAAAAAGGTTAAGACGGACAGCTGGGCAAGGAATGAGGTGATAATGGCAACCAGAGGAAACAAAACAAGAGAACAAAATAATGTACGGGTATTTGAGCTCTATGTAGATGAATGGGTAAAAAAGCTGCGGTACATTCACACAATGGACTACTTACTACTCAGCAGTAAAAAACAAGGAAATAGTATCTTTTGTAACGGCATGGATGGACTTGGAGAGTATTATGCTAAGTGAAATAAGCCAGTCAGAGAAAGACATGTACCATATGATTTCACTTATTTGTGGAACCTAGTGAAGAAAATAAACTTCACTAGGTTCAGATACAGAGAACAGACTGATACCTGTCAGAAGGGAGGAGACTGGGGACAGGTTGAGAAGGGTGAAAAAATTAAGCAAAGAAAAAAAAGACTCCTGGAACAGACAACAGTATGGTGATTGCCAAAGGGAAGGAAGTGGGGGACTGCAGGAAGTAGAAGAGGGTAAAGAGGCAATAAATGGTAATGGAAAACTTGACGTGGAGGGGTAAACTTGCATTTCAATATACAGATGACGTACTGTAGCACTGAAACCTATATAATTTTACTAACCAATGTCACCTCAATAAATCAAAATTTTAAAGAAGACTGAAACAGGAAAAACAAAACCTTATGGTTTAAAAAAAAAAGGTATGGAAAAAAGGGAAAGAAAGCTTTGCTATCTTAAAAGGGGAAATTGGTCGGAAAGCAGCCTTTATGATGTAGACCTCAAAGTACACTTTTCCCAAAATAATTGCCAATTTTTACAGGAAACAGAAAAACTTACAGAAATTAAATCATAAAGTCATAGTGATGGTTGGTGCTTATTTCAACCTATTTCATGTAGCTGAAAAAAAAATGTATAAACAATGAAAAAATTGGTTTCACATGAAGTTTAAGAAAGTTTCAACCATTAATTCCATCCTATATAATAAAACTCTAATATGCAAATCGACCGAACAGCAGAACGACTGGTCACTATGATGCGCATTGGCTGCCAGGGGGCAGATGGTCAACACAGGAGCTGCCCCCTGTGGTTAGTGCATTCCCACAGTGGAATCACCACTCAGCCAGAAGCCCTGAGCCAGTGAGCACAGTAGTGGTGGCGGGAGCCTCTCCCATCTCCGTAGCAGTGTTAAGGACCCCTCGGGGGTTGGACATCCCCCGAGGGTCCCAGACTGTGAGGGCGCAGGCTGGGCTGAGGGACCCCCCCCCCTCCCGAGTGCATGAATGTCATGCACCAGGCCTCTAATTTTTGAAGAAATCTCAATCGGGTATTTGCTGAGTCCTCATTATGTACTCAACACTGTGTCATACTTAAGGAGAAAATCTATATAAATAAAAGCCCAGCAACCGGAACAGCGGAATGACTAGAAGGACTGGTGGCGATGATACACACTGCAGCAGCCAACCAACCTGATCTGGGCCCCTCCCCCTGCTAGCCCAACCCAATGGGGCCCCATTGGGACAGGCTGGCCAGATCTCACCTGTGCAAGAATTCATGCACCAGGCCTCTAGTATAAAAGAAATATAAATCAAATCATGATCTTTAATTTAGTATAGACAATAAATTGTGTTTCTTCAATTGGAACACATACAGCAGACTACATCCCCCTCTCCCCACTAAGTCCCCATCCCTATTTACTCTATTCCAAATCTAGGAGAGAATAAGAAATATGTTTTAAAGAAACAATTAAGAAATACAAAGCCATGTTTAAAATTACAACAACAGCAACAACAAAACCATCAAGGAAAATTTCAGTTGACCAGAAATTCTGAGGAATTCCTAAGGATAACACATAGGGAATCAGACAAAAGCAAAATGGTGGTATGAATTAGCACCACACATCGGGCATCACCAACGGGCTTCCATGCACAATGGTGACAGAACTGGTAATAGACCTCAAAGTGGGTCTAGGGCTACCAACAGATAATAATGGAGCAATAGAGTGGGAATTGACAGGTAAGGACCTACCCTCTCTTTCACAAAGGCAAGATAGCTGTGGTGCGGGTATCTATTCTCTGGGAGAATAGTGCCTAAAGTGGAAAGACATCCATTGTTACTGAGTACAGAAGAAAAATCATAAGACAATGGACTCTGCCTATAGAGAAATTTTCCCCATTATCAGTGAACAGAATAGAAAACTAGTCCCAGCAAAGGCTTCTGAGCCTTCCCTTATATAAATTGTACAAACCAAAACAATGAAAGTTTGGCTTGTACAATTCATCTTTGAGCTCACAATCAACAATCAAACATTAAAGGATCTTCAACAGGAAAATAAATCAACAAAGACAAACTTTTACCCAAGCAAAGAGATGAAGCAATTTAAGTAAGTCTTTATAATAAATACTAGTACAATCAACATCTATAGATCAGTGTGTCTCAAACTCCACTGCACATTAGAATCACCTATGAAAATTTTATCTATCTATCTATCTATCATCTATTTATTTAAAAAATATATTTTATTGATTTTTACAGAGAGGAAAGGAGAGGGATAGAGAGTTAGAAACATCAATGAGAGGTAATAATTGATTGGATACCTCCTGCACACTCCCTACTGGGGATGTGCCTGCAACTAAGGTGCATGCTCTTGACCAGAATTGAACTTGGAACCCTTCAGTCCGCAGGCTGATGCTCTATCCACTGAGCCAAACTGGTTAGGGCTCCTGTGGAAACTTAAAAAAATCCTACTGCTCAGGTACTATCCTAGCCAACTAAACCCAGACCAAGCATCCTAATATATAAAAAGCCAGGACTGTCATGACTGAAACAACTGGACAAATGACTGAACAGCAGGCTGTGTGGGGTGACCAGGCCAGCAGGGGGGGCAGTGAGGGGTAACCAAGCTGGCAGGGGGGCCATGAGGGGCGACCAGGCCAGCAGGGGGTGCAGTTAGGGACAACCAGGCTGGCAGAAGAGGGTAGTTGGGGCGACCAGGCTGGCAGGGAGGCAGTAATAGGCAATCAAGCCAGTGGGAGGGGTGATCAGGTCGGAGAAGGGGAAAATTGGGGGTGACTAGGCCAGCAGGGGCAGCAGTTAGGGGCGATCAGACAGGCAGGCAGCTGAGCAGTTAGGAGCCAGTGGTCCCGGATTGTTAGAGGGATGTCTGACTGACCCCAATTGTGAGAGGGATGTCCTAAACTGGCCTGTTTGGGCCTAAACTGGCAGTTGGACATCCCCCAAGGGGTCCCAAATTGGAGAGGGTGCAGGCTGGGCTGAGAGGACCCCCTCCTGTGCACAAATTTCATGCACCAGGCCTCTAGTACATTTATAACTAAAAAAATTTAAAAAAAATCAATCAATTAATAAATCACATTTTGATTGACTCTTTTCCTACAGGATCTCTATCCAGGAATAACAAGCTACTTATAACCATAATGTTAATCGGCAGCCTCTATGTCAAGTACTGGTATATCTCTAATCATATTCAAAATCCATCTCCTGGTTTTCTTCATACCACAGGAATCCCACTTTTGATGGTTCTACTTCTTAATCCTTCCCCTTAAATAATGATATTTGTGTAAAATATGATTATATGAAAATTTCTATATGAACTGAACTTTTACTGTCCTGCATTTTTCAATTCCTGTTGCTTGAAATGCTCTTTCAGATTTTCTTTGACTGTTGCTGTCCCAATTTTCCCTCCCAGACCCTCCCTGTCCAGGCCTGCTGAGTTAAGAACCTCTCCTACTTCATCCCAAATGCTAGTGTTCTCAATGGTTTGACTATGAACTACAGGAAAACTGGGCAGCAACAGTATCCTATTCAACATTGTATCTCCAAAACCAAGTCAGTGCCAGGATGGAAATGATATACTAAATAAGGTGAAACAAAGATCTCTAACTCCATGAATGCCCTCCCCTTTTTTACAGACCTAGTAGTACTTACTCACATTTCTTTTTGGACTCACATCTCTTAACCACATTCTAGAAGACTACTGGTAAAGTGAAACTATTCTTTATTATTTCTGGTCCAGAATGAGACGGACAAAACTGACTGACCTGTAGCTTTAATAAAAAGCAAAGACTGCCAGAAAAATAAAACCTTAATAAGACAATAAGACAAATGAATATCAATTAAACTTAAATTCTTATCTTCCCACTCCCACCAAATTATAATCACATTGAAGGGCACAAATCCTGAATTACCATACATGTATGACAGACCTGGGTTTAGGCTATTAAGGGTACATGAGAATACATCTGCTGTATGCATAGGTCCAAGGTGAGCCTTATATAATCAAAGCCCAATCATTACTGATGGCTTAAAAGTTCTCAAAAATCTAACATCACCAGTCTCTTTTTCTGTGTTGAAAACTCCAGTAGGATGAAAGTATTTTCATCTGTTGAACTCTAAAAGATAAGTTAGTCACATAAACTTGAAAAAAATGCCTTCATAAAAAACTTTTTCACCATCAGATTCTGTTTCCCCAAAATCTTTCTAGCCTGAACTCTTTATAAAAGATTTTTAAACAATAATTCTGTAAGTACAGTTCTTAGGCTGAGCGAAAAGAGGATGTGTATGTAATAGCATCTTTCAAAAGTAAATTATTTTATTCTGAACTGCCAGCGTATTGGCTAACTCCAAGGAGCACGGGCTATCCAGCAAAGGCGTACTTAGCCCACTGCTGCTCACCACTGTCCTGTTTCTAGCATAAAAACATAAATCAACTAGTCTTTTTGGTCACAGTACCGATTATCACAGGACATTTCTATTCAGGGGAATTTATCATTTTGGTTATTACTCAGCAGAATAATTAAAAATAGCTGTAACGATTAAAAATTATTTTATTTTGTTCATTTAGAGCCTCAGCTAATTTAAATACAAGTTGGAAAACAACCAAACATCTAGGATTTCTGCCTCATGCCCAACGGCAAGTCACTGAGAAAAAAGGCACAAGCTTAACAGTCATTATTTAATATTGCCTACTTGACAGTGGCCATCAATCATCACACAACACACACCTAGCAACTCCCACGGAGCCACAATGGACAACGTGCAAGGATGGTTTTGAATACGAGTGTAATTCATCTGGCTCCAAACAAAGGTAACTGAGAACTTTCAGACTCACTTAGAAGCCCCGGCCTCCCCTTTTCACTGCATTACAACCTCACGCACTAGGAAGCTGGGCAGCTGCCCAGTTCCAGCCTCCAGGGGCAAGTCTGCGGCGAGTGGTGATCAGCCCACTGTTTGCTTCCCAAAGACTCAAAGGCGGTTCGAGGAGTCCAAACCGGGCTGTCAGCGCCCGATCGCTGCCCAGCAGCAGGCCGAGCAGACCAGCCACCTCGCGGCCCAGGAGCGCGACCGTAGCTCCGCGGGCGCTCTAACCACACATTTGCAGGCCCCAGTCCCCCGGGGGAGGAACACAGCCTCCTTTCCCACGACCCACCGCCTCTCCCGGAAGGAAGCCGGGGCGGTCCAGAGGCCCGCAGGTCCGCGATGGGGAAGGGTCGGGGAGACTCGCGCTGCGGGCACCCTCTTTAGTGCCTTTTAGTTTCCCGGGCTCCAGAACAAACTGAGTCCACCCCCCCCGTGGGGCCGCAGTCTCAATCCATCCAGAGTTACCTTCTCTCCCCGATCTCGGACCCGGGACCACCCTCCATCCCCGGAGCGCCTACCTAGGCAGGTTCTCAAAGCCTCTGCACCAAGGCCCTCTAGTGTCCCCGCTCCTCCAGGTCACGCAGTCGCCACCCACCCACCATCCGCTGGAGGCGGGCACGCGCGCTTTCTCCCGGCCAGTGTGGGGGTTCCCGGGAAGGGGAGACTGAGCCCGCAGTTCCTACCTGCTGGACGCGCGATGGAGCGCAGCGGGGTCAAGGTGGACGCGCACGTCGGGCCGGCCCCGCCCCCTTTTCTCCGGCGGTGACTTCAGGAGCCGCTTCTGCGCAAGTCCGCACAGTGCAAGACCAGAACGGGATGCAGCTGGAGTCTCGCGATAGCTCTGCCCACAACATTGGAGGCGACAGGATTGGCTGGAACCCGTAGACAGGAGGCGGGCTCTGAGCAAATATAAATAAGAGCGGCTCTCCCAGCTGAAGGGGCGGGGTTCCCTTGGAAGCCAGTGCCGGTTGCCTTTTGTGACTTTAATAAAAAAAAAAAAATAAAAAAAAAAAAAAAAGGCAGAAGAGAATTCTGCAAACGCACTTTTTTTTTTTTAATTGCTTCTAGAAAGCAGGCATTCATTAGGTACTGAGGAAGCTTATCCTCCTCCTAAAAGTTACTCTAAAAGACTTTTCAGGGAAATGTGAGTACATATTGTAAGTTAAGGGGGGAAAAAACTACTTGTGTTGTGCTGAAGGTGGCTGAGGAAAATTGTCATGTTTCCTTCTCTCCATGGAGAGGTAGCCTCTTTCTCATAGAGGTAAGCTACCCCTTAGTTCACTTCGGATAACTCCGAGAGGAGAGCTTGTAAAGTAACAGCCAGGAATCGGCAGGCACTGGGCGATAAATGATCAGCTCATCAGGACTCATCCCTAGACTTGGAAGGGCATCTCAGCAGGTGTGATCTCCGAAGCACAAAAGTAAGTTCTTACCCAAGGGAGTTGTAGTTGCACAGACAGTCTGTATCCAACTTTGTACAGAATTTCATCGCAGACCTCTAAGCTAGTCTGAAAAAAAGCTATTTACATAAACGAAACCCTGTAAAATTCTATGCAAATAGTTACTTTATCCCAGGCTTCAAGAGACGAGATGAAAAAGGAGTGCGAATGCTGGAGCAGTGGGCAAGCAGAGCCCCTCCGCATTGGCGAACCTACCATTTTTACTAAGTGCAAGACATTATGGAACCTTTCCTTTGGAAATGTATTTGAAACGCGGTATTTGAATATACACGGTGCTGTAAAAGGTTAGTTTTATGTCACTTCTCAACATTGGAACAGAGATTTAAACTCTAAGTTTGATTGAGTCCGACTGGTGCCAGGCAGAAATGTTTAAAAAACAAGTACAGCATCATTTCCTCTTTGTTCGCCTTGATTGGCGTAATTAAACTCTAGACACAGTTATTGTTACCCTGTGCAAAACATTAAACTACAGAACCAACTGTAAGTGTTTGGAAATGTAATTTCAACTATAGAGATGGAATTCTATACAGTATCACTCAGTGGTTACAATTACAGTAGTATCACTCAGTGGTTACAATTAAACAAAATTCTTTTGAATTGCCAGTGGTGTGTTCAATCCTGTATTTGTAAAGTGCCCTGTATATGCTTTGAAAATTTCTCTCTGGTGTAATGTTTTTAATATTAGAATAACCAGAGCTAATTTAAGAAAAAAATAGTTTATTTTTGCACCTTAGCTCTCTGGAAGATTCTGAAATATTTATTCAACCCTGGCTGAGTTCATTTACCTATTAGATACTAATGGTCTAATAGCATTCCACAAGTTGGAATTAATTTATTGGCCATAAACCAATCAATGAGCTACTCAGCGTTCATTGAGTTCAACTGCTTCTTGAAACTATAAATTTGATGTCAGTCAGACCACTTGTTTTCTTGTATGGTCTCACTAGACCACGGCAATAGTCCCAGTTTCTTTTGGGGACAGTTGGCTTTATTCTAGCAATAACCCTAACTCATTTTAGGGTAATCTATTTTAGAAATGAATTTTAAAAATTGTTCTCAAGGAGGACTGGTTGAGAAGGAATAGATGAGTTAACATAAACTTAAGTCCCTTTATGGAGAGAAATGGTATAAATGATGATTTATGAGTAGAATATTATGTTTTGCAAAGCCTTTAATGTTCAGTTTTTCATTCTTACAATGACAATATTAGATATTTAAAAAAAATTTATTTTAGAGTAGAGGAATATGAAACTCAAAGAAATTTAGTGATTTGCCAGTTTAGCTCTAAGAGAAAAGGGGAATCTAGAAATTATCTTGATTCCTTGGTCTAGGCTGTTGCCTCTTATGACTAAGTTGTCTTTCCTTCCAAATTAAAATAAACAATATATCATCAATCTTCCTAGCTTCACATGGGAAAAATGAAGGCAAGATGTGTGTAATTATTTCATAACCAAGGCTGTGTATATTAACAATAAGGATTATTCAAGCCCAGCACTATTTTTTCCTTAAAAAGGTCATTAATAAAATTGCTTTAAATGTAAATGGACTAAATTCTCCAATCAAAAGACATAATGTGGTTGAATGGATAAAAAAAAACAAGAACTCACTTCAAGTGTAAGCAGATACTCAGACCAAAAGTGAAGGAATGGAAAAAGATATTCTTTACAAATAGAACTTGAAAGAAAGCTGAGATAGCTATACTTAGACAAAATAAACTTTAAAACATAGACTATAATAAGAGATAAAAAGGTATAATATAATTCAACAAGGGGATATAACATTTGTAAATAATTATACACCTAACATATGAGCACCTGAATATATAAATCAAATATTAACATACCTAAAGGAAGAAATGGATAGAAATACAATAATAGAAGGGACTTTAGTTGTTCACTTACATTAATGAATAGATCATCCAGACAGAAAAAATAAGTAGTCTTAAATGATATGTCAGATCAAATAGACTTAACAGCTATGTAGAGAATATTTCATCCAAAACAACAGAATACCCATTCATTTCAAGTGCATATAGAGCATTCTTCAGGATAGGTCGTATGTATGTTAAGCCACAAACAAATCTTTATAAATTTAAGAAGATTGAAACCATATCAAGCATCTTTCCTGAACACAATGTTATAAAACTAGTAATCAATTAAAAGAAGAAAATGAAAATATTTGCAAATATGTGGAGATTAAAAATATGCTTATGAACAATCGATAGGTCAAAAAAGAAATCAAAAGAGAAATAAAAAAATACCTTGCAACAAGTGAGATTGGAAATATAACAAAAACCAACATTTATGGGACCTAGCAGTAGTTCTAAGGTGAAAGCACATAGCTATAAAGGCCTATAGAATCTCAAATAAACAACAATAAACAGATAATAATTATATACTAATACAATAAATATCATATATATATATATATATATATATATATATATATATATACACACACACACACACCTAAGCTACTGGCCAGCCAGTAGCTATGACGCTCAATATAGGAACAGAAACCACAGGCATGGAAACATGGAACAGATTGATGAATCTCAGAGAGAGGAGTGATGGGGGAGGGTGGGAAGAGATTAACCAAAGATCTTATATGCATACTAGAGGCCCTATCTGGCCTGACCTGCAGGGATTGGGCTGAAACTGGCCCAGTGCACAGATTTATGCACCAGTAGGGTCCCTCGGCTTGGCCTGTGGGGGTTGGGCCAAAACCGTCTCTCTGACATCTCCTGAAGTGTCTTGGACTCTGAGAGGACATAGGCCACACCGAGGGAACCCACCAGTGGACAAATATGTGCACCAGGCGTCTAGTTATATAATAATCTCAATAGATGCAAAAAAAGCATTTAACAAAGTTCAATATCCATACATGATTAAAGCTCTCAAGGAAGTAGATATGGAAGGAACTTAACCTCAACTCAGTAAGGCTTTATATGAAAAGCCCACAGCTAACATCATATTAAATGAGGAAACATAGAAAGCTTTCCTTTGAAGGTCCTATACAAGACAAAAATGCCCACTCTCTCACCACTTCTCTTCAACATTGTACTGGACATTCTAGCCAAGCAAAGAGAAAAGCAAAAAGAAAGAAAAGGCATCCCAATAGGAAATAAAGAAGTAAAATGATCTCTTTTGATGGTAACATGATCATTTATTTAGAAAACTTTAAAGACTCAATAACAACAAAAAAAACCTGTTAAAATTAATACCTAAATTTAATATAGTTGAGTGATTCAACACTGACATACAAAAATCAGCCACAGTTCTATATACAAACAGCCAACTATCCAAAAAGGAAATTAAGAAGATATTCACATTCACAATAGCAACCAAATGAATAAACTACTTGGGAGTAATCTTAACCAAAGAGTTAAAAGACTTATACATTGAAAATCATAAAACACTAGTGGCCTGGTTCACAGATTCGTGCACATTGAAAGGAAATTAATTAGAAGAAATATTTTAATATCCCTCTTCACCCTTTCTTTATAATAGAAATGTCAACCAAATTCATGATCAACACTGACAGATTGAAACACACATGTGTGATTGGCACCAGCAAAAGCTTTATATGTATGGTGCATGCACGAGTCAACATTTATTTTTAAATTGCCAGTGTGCATTATATGTACCAGGCAGTCAGTTGGCCTGATGGTCGGACATACATACAATTATTTAGCCTTTTTTTATATAGAGATATTGATGAAGGAAAAAAAAAGAAACAGATAAATGGAAACATCTTATGTTCATGGATTAGAAAAGTTAATGTTCTTAAAATGTCTACCAAAAACCATCTACAGATACAATGTGATCCCTATCAAAATCCCAACTGCATTCTTTACAGAAATAATAATAATAATAAAATAAAAAAAACTCTTAAAATTCACATGGAATCACAAAATCCTGAATAGCCAAGGCAATTGTGAGAAGAAAAACAAAGATGGAGGGGCCACACTTCCTGATTTCAAAAGTGTATTATAAAATGATTTCAAAATAGTATGATATTGCCATTTAAAAAACTACAAAGACATATAGACCAATGTAACAGACTAGAGAGCCCAGAAATAAATCCAAACATCTATGGTGAACGGATCATTAACAAGAGTGCTAAGAACACGGATGAAGAAAGTATAGTCTTTTCAATACATGCTGTTGGGAATACGGGATATTTTTATGGAGAAGAATGAAAACAAAACCCTTATC